AAAAAATATCCGCAAGGCAGGTTTGTATATTTGGGGCTGATGATTATGAAATCTAACACAAAACTGTGAGATCGGGGGCTCTATTCCAGCTGATGGCAGTTTTTAATTATTATTTCTTAATACTGAAAAATGTTTTTCGTATTTTTTTAAGTATGCATGTTAATAACTAGTAATTTAACAATTATTTAAAGAACTGGAAGGCTCCGCTACCTGTTCATTTTGCTCACTAACCCTCGTGGTTGCTTCTGCATTCATTGCAGGTTTAGAGGAAAAACGGTTTATTTCCCTTTTTTTCTACAAAAATTACGATTGAATTACCATTTACATTTTGAAGGTGATTAAATTTAAGTAAATCAATAAAATTGGTACCAATCAATAAAATTGGAAAATTGGTACCTGCCGCAGAGTTATTACTCAATAAAGTTGGACTCAAGGGATAGAGCATTCTCCTCCGAATGAGGTGCACCGAGTTCGAATCCCAGTGATGGCTGAGTGATATGAATTCCACACCCGGCTTTTACCGACCACAGTGCTGACGTGAAATATCCTCAGTGGTAAGCGGATCATTTCTTAGAGTTCCCTTGGTATCAGACTAACCGTAGGAGGATTTCGTGGTTTTCCTCTCCATGTAACTCAAATGCGGGCTATCAAAACGTCCTCCACGAATGCAAAAATTTCTTCCACTACTTGATCCTGGAGTTCTCTTGTCTGCTGGATTAGGTTCAAAATTACAAGGCTACGGAATTAAACATTAGTAGTAGTAAGCTCGAATTTTTGGAATTTTTTCTAGTTGTGCATAAATTTTTTATTGTTTGAGTTGCATTGTTTGAGTAAAATATTTAATTAAGAACACTGTAGAATCTTATGATGGATGTGCATATATTGTTTATTTATTCAGATATCACTTTTATATTTTTCCTTTGTTAATATTTGAATCATGATAAATTTTTTATCAGAACAAATATGTCTATGTGTCATATTAATTATTTTTCGCATATTAAAAATTATTGCTTATTTTCAAAATTATCTGAGCCCCCCTGTCGGGGCATTGCTGACCCCCTGTCGGGCTAAGTCTAGCGCCACTCTTGTATGGTAAAGTATGCTAAGAGTAAAAATTAACATTAAGGGGTCCAAACTTTGAACCTCTCTTCTGACCAAAATATTGGGACTTTATTTCCCAGATTGTGGCTGCCTTCTATATTTCGAGGGTAAGAAATTCGAATCTGTTAAAAAAAACAGTGTATCTATTCAGAGAAAATGTGTTTTGTGTCTGAATTTGTAATTTGAAATATTGTCTGCTCAAATTAATCAGCACATTTGAGGTCTCCTTTAAATGTTAAGAATGAGTCCTAGAACCTGAAGATCCAATCATTAGATCAAAAGTTATTCAGGGTTGCTCATATTTTACTGTGCACTGTACAGGGAACCTTTTGGATACAGCCTTTTGCTTTGTTATTCCGATTTCCTATGTTTTACCAGCTGTTAAAAAAGGTTAAATATCAGCTTTAAGATAAATTGAATATCTCTTTAGCTATGTTATTTACTACACTATAAAACTTTTCTTATTCACCATTGGCTGAAATTAGGTTATAAGTTTCTCTGAGGAAATGTAAATTGAACATGAAAGTTCATCAATAAAAATACAAGAGTAAAATATGCTATCTTTACGTTTGGAAATTAATCACAATTACATTGAACAGAGCAAATAAGGATGCATCTAAATTATCTTCGACCAGGTTTTAAAAAATATTTTTAAACCTAATGGTTATTTTTTATTATCTTTAAGCCACCAAACAGAAAAAAAATCTTCCATACAGATATTAGATAATATTTAAAAACTATATCCATTTAAAAAGTCTTTCCAATGTTTAGACTAGGCATTGAAAGACTCAGTTTTTATAGTTCATATCATTGACTTCGATTAGTAACTAGATTGATGACTTACACAAAAATTTCACTCTGAAATGTGATTCATTGAAAAAGAAAAAAAAAATCTATTCAGAGAAGCATTGGTATATGGCAAAATTTTCTGTGCTTCTATTGTGTAATTTTTAAAATGTGTTACAAAATAAAGTAAATGAAAGTTACTGAAGTATGTTTTTATGTATGAAGTATGTATGTTTAGCTACTGAAGTATGTACTGAGTAATGTTTTGAGTTTTAGAAGTCAAAATATATTGAATGAAGTCAAAATATACTGAGAACATTTCTTGCAATTTATATGCATTAATAATATGCACTTTTTAAAATATTAACTATTACTAAAAGTTTAAATGACTTGTCTGCTAATTTATTTATTTTTGAATTGATTTTCCATTTTATATATTTTTTGCTAGGATATAATATCATCTATATCTGGACGAATTCCACCTAATGTTGAAAAACATATTAAGAAATTGATGGCCATGTACTCCAGCAATATTACATCTGTGCTAGCTCAATTTCCAAGTCAACAAGTAAGCTTCCCATTTTCATAACTTTTTTAGTGTTTTATTTGGTTTTTAAGTATTAATTTTATTTTAGATTGCTAGCGTCATTGATAGTTATGCTGCAACTCTTCAAAAAAGATCTGATCGTGATGTGTTCTTTATGACAACTCAAGGCATTGTACAGTTAGTTCAAAGATATAGAAATGGAATCAGAGGGCGAATGAAAGCAGTTGTACAAGATTTATTAAAGCTATATTTATCTGTAGAAACTGAATTCCAACATGGTATATATCTTAAATCATTACTCTTTTGGTGTTTGTACTCAGCCTTTTGATGTTTTTTTTAAAAATTGACAAATTTTACTTATATCTGGAACAAAGTTTGTATATTTCTTGAAATTTTTTGTTGAAATGTGCTTACATTTTTATCATGTATTTTAATAGATAATATTAGTTAAAAATAAAGTATTAATAACATTATAAATTTTTTTTAAATAAAAGTAAAGTATTAATAATAGTATTAATTTTTTTAAATAAAAATAAAGTATTATTAATAGTATTAATTTTTTGTAATAAAAATAAAGTATTAATTTTTTTCCTATCCAAGAGTTGAATATATGATGTATATATACAGGCCCGTCCTCAACGGGGGGGGGGGGGGGGGGGGGGNGAGAGGGGGGTGTCTCCCCCCCCCAGCGATATCATCCAGTCGGCAAATTCAGGTTGATAGTCGGCCATTTTTTTACTTTTTACTTTTTTCATGTCAAAATCCCGACTTTGCCGAAATTCTTTCATTGTCGGATATTTCATTGGTGATGAGATTTAAACGGATTTCAATGTTATCTGAGTTTCGTCCGTTTCAGGATCCCAGACCTGACTCGGCGAATCTTGTTATGAATTGTGTTCTTAAATTTAGTTTTTTTTTCTCCTCCAAGAGTAACCATTTATGATAACTCAAAGCAAGATGACCGATAATACAAGCCAAAATCCCGACTTTGCCAAAATTCTTTTATTATTGGATATTTCATTGGTGATGAAATTTAAACGGATTTCAATGTTATCTGAATTTCGTCCGTTTCGGGATCCCAGACCCGACTCGGCAAATCTTGTTATGAAATGTGTTTTTAAATCTATTTTTTTTCTCCTCCAAGAGTAACCATTTATGATAATTCAAAGCAATCTCGAAAACCATTTCTCTTGTATTATTGTTTCAACGACACATTCTTAAATTTAAAAAAATTTCAGTGACCTTAATTTTTAGTTAGCTAATAATGTATCATAAAATTCAGATGTTAATTATCTGAATTATATTATTATATTAACTCCTTATTAGAGGTTTAAGTAATTTTTTTAAAGGAAGTGATGAACTTACATGAGTCTTTTTTAAAGAATTAATAAATTTTAAATGAAATAATCGCACAGGTGATGCAACCTTTTTATTTTTTATTTTTACCTACAAAATATTGGGGAAGAATTACAAATAATTGTACCTGTATTATTCAAAATATCTTATTTAAATTGTTAAATTCTGTTTAAACAACACAAATTATTAAATAATTTATATTTTCAATTAGTAAAAGCTATTTTTCTACTATGAAGAATTTTACTAAATCCAAAGGACTTTAAACATTAAAAAAAAAAGAAAAAAAAAAGGAAGAAACATTTAATTTGTTAACTACCCTTCAGTTCATAACTTTTAAAATTCTATGATGATTGGATTATTATTTGAGTTAAAAATTTTTTTAACCTAAAATAAATTGTTCAAGGACCAATTCATATCTTTAGAACAATTAATCACCACAACAAAATTTGATATTCTCTATGGAGAATAGTAAACATATATGTGATCCTCAATTCACCTTTATAAAAATTTCTGTTTTGAAAATAAAATATTATATTTTGCTTTTAATATTCTTTTTCAAGAATCATAAGAATTCTGAAACATTAAATTGAGTTGCACTCAATCGAATCAACACTTCAATCATTTCACACAATTTGTGGATGGTTGCCAAGTTCAAAGTTTTAAATGTTGTAATTTTGGTTTCATTATTAATTCTTGGATTCCGAATATTCATGGAAAAGTGGCAATTCTATTTGATCAAGCCGTTACCGCACTATGAAAAGGAGCAAAAAAAAAGGTGCTGCGACTCCGATCTTGTGAAGCAGCAGACAAAACCCCCGATATTTCTGTCAACTTGAAAAATCGAGTGTGTTTTAAAAGTGGTTAGCTAGAAATGCCCTAAGCTATATTTTCTCACGTTTTCTCTTACTCTTTCTAAGAATAAAGACAATATCTTTGTCCATGTCGTTATGGAGGGGAAGGACGGGGCTCAATGCACATGCAGCTGTGGTACCAATTACTTCACTGACCTGTCTTTAACTGTCTAGTACGGGTACTTAGTTACTCAAAGCGTATTTTATAAATCCATATTATTATTGAATAAAATAGAAAATCCGCTCACAAGCCAACGATCATCCAATCTACCGCAGTTTCTTAAGTTTTGAATGTAAGTATAATTTTTTTTTATGAATACATGTTTATTATTTGCAGTCTTATTGTTTAAATATTCAGTTTAATTAAATTGCGTTAAATGTGTTATTATTTTTCAATTAAATTATTTCCTCAATTACTGCTTAAAAATTTAAGTATAAGACTTTCTTAAAAAACAATATTTTTTTTAAAAATATATGTATATATGGGTAAAAATTAATTTTCATGAAGCGGATAAAATTATTTTTTAATCTCTTTAGTGCCGTAAAATCATTAAAAGAAAGAAAAAAGAGCAATTAAAAATTTTATGTTATTTATATTCATTAATAGGAGCTAGGGATAGAAGATAAATCACATTTGAATTCCGAAAATTGGAATTCCTTTTCCGTTTTTTACTTTTTACTAAGCTTTATATTTTGAGTTTGAAATAGTACTTTTTTTTAAAATATTTTTTCAGTTGAAATGATTTTTTATAGATCTTATTTAATTGAAATTTCAAACATCAAATTCTATATTTGTTCGTATGCTTTGTTTTTATAAGTCCAAACTGCAATCCTTTATGAACAAAAATGTACTAATGCTTATTTTATTGAAAATGTAAGGTGTTTAAAAATAGAAAAGTTTCAGTTTTTTTTTATGAATAATTCTTTTTAGCTATTTTGTTGTATTTCTTATGTATTTAATGTTTTTATATTATCTTTTTGACTTAAGTTAACAGTTTTTCATCTGTTTAAGTTAATTATTAGTAAAAAAAACTTAATAATTTTGTAATTATGTAAAAATTCAATTCACAGTTTTGTAATAAAAATGCAGAATAATCATTTTAGCATAAATGCTTTCATAAGTTTTTATTGTTAAATCGATTAGCATTAACTGCACCAATGACAGTTGCGACAAATGAAGAAATTTTCAGCAAGATGAAATTGATTAAAAAGATTCTAGGAAAAAAAGAGGTCCCGGAAAAAAAGGTACCTGGAAAAAAAAGGTCCCGGAAAAAAAGGTACGGAAAGAAAGGTACGGAAAGAAAGGTCCCTGGAAAAAAAGGTCCCGGTAAAAAAGGTACCTGTGTAGGGAAAATTCTGTAGGGGAAAATATTTGAAATGAGAATTAGATTGAAGCGCTTTTTGCTGTTCCGTGCATGAAATACCGCGACTGTAATTAAAAAAGACCAATACTTTCACTCCCAATCACGAATAAACATCCAACACATAAATCTTCCCAACTTCCCCGATTGGCTACTTTAAGCCTCACGTTAGCAACTCCTTCACAAAATATAATTTAAAATAGAAAATAACTTTTTTTTCTTATTTTTTTAAAGATGAAAGAACAATTTACTTTTGAATGAATTTTGTTTTGAATCAATATCTTATAGAAGACTGTATTTGTTGATTATGACTTACTTTCTTATCTTCAAACAGTTGCTCTAATTAGCTTATGGTAACAACGTTTAGATGAAACAAAAGATAAATTTTAATTACTGAGTGATTTTTCAAAAAATATTTAAATATAGAGTAAAAAGTATTTCAAAGCTGCATTGAAAAACATTTAAATCTACAACTTTATTTTTTAAAATTATTTCCACAAATAATTATTAATTACTATTACTGAAAACCTATTTTTTTTCTTTAATATTTTGTATCCATTTTAATAATATAATTAATAGAAATGTAAAAACTTTATTTTCTTTGTATTATTTTGAATAATTACCGGTACTATTTAGTTATCAATAATACGACATTTTTCACCTATGGCGGTTCCATTTTTAAGTGCTGTAAAAATTATTTCGATGAATAGCATTATGTTTATAACTAGTCAAAATGATTTCAAAATAAACTTTGGAAGCTCAAGTTTTGTGGCGCATTATCTGTTTTGTTTTACCTTTGATTATCAAGCTTTAACCATATACAAATTGTGTATATGTATATATACACTGGTTATCATAAATTAAGGAAANTATATATATATATATATATATATATATATATATATATATGACACTCGGCAAAATAAGCTTCAACACCCCCCCTCTCGAATCGGTTAGCGACAGGCCTGTATATATATTTTTTCCGGTACTCGAAATAAATAATCTTTCATGTTCAAAAAAAGTACATCTTACATCAGACTAACTTGAAATGTGATGAAAAACAAAATATTCTTAAAATAATAAACTATTCTACGTTGTTATAAAAAAAATCAGTATATAAAATCGTTTGTTCAGTATATAAAATCATTTGTTTAAAAGAAGTAAAAACAAAATCAATTTATTGATTTTTTAAGATGTTGATGGACCCATTTTTAAAAAAAAATTGTAATTAATAATTTGGCGACTTTATTTTTTGTTTGTTTGTAATGCTGTTGCATACAAACAAATTTTTCTAGAAGGCCTTTGAGGATGCTAATAATAATAAAATAATAATATTAATAATAAATATTTCATTCAACGTAGCGGGGGGAAATGAGAAAAAAAGCCTCTTCTTTGATTTATTTATTAACTATTGAGAAAACTGTTTCAATTTTTCTATCTATTTGAATTAAGCTATAAAGTTTTTTTTTTAATACTTTATTTTCTAAATTTTAGTATTTTTTTCTGAGCAGTATATAATTACAATTTTATCCTAAGAAGAATTATTCAAGAGTATTTGATATTGCATAAAAAAAGCTGTTATGCATACATCTGATTTTTTTCATATTTGGTGTAGTTAATACAAATAAATATTGCAGATTTTCCTTTCAGAGTTTGCCTTAAGTTCATTTTTTAGCAGAATATTGCCTTGAAATTTCTATTTTGCATTATTTTTAAACCTTTTTGTTTGTGTTTTTCGGATTTGTTTACTGTCTTTGATTCAATTGTTATATTAATAAAATGTTACTGAATATCGCAATTCTTATAATTTCCACAGGTCATTATGATAAATGTGTTGCTTTACTTAGAGAAAAGCATAAGGAAGACATGGCTACTGTTGTCGGTAAAATATTTTCCCATTTGCAAGTAAACAAGAAGAATCAATTGATTATAAAACTAATAGTAAGAATAAATTCTTAATATAACATTAGAGTGGTGAAATATTTTCTTTTTGTACCCTTTTACCTTGGTATCAGGTCTAAGGGAAACTATCTAAACTACAGAAATCTTTATTATCTCAAAATTTTTTTAAAAAACTTTTATCAGAAATTACTAATAAAAAAAACATTTTGATCTCTTTTATTTTAAAAGTTGTGTGTTTAAGATGCATGTTAATTAAAATTTTCTATCAATTAAATAATCTTTATTATCATTACATGATCTTTATTTTTGAGTGAAAAAAAAACTTAAGTGTAAAATCCTTTAGCTGTAATACAGAAAACTTGTCTTCTACCTTCTTCTTGTCTTTTGATACCTCAATGGGCTTGAAGTTAGTAAAAGTAGACTATAATTGTTTGAAATTCCAGAAATTATAAAAAACATCTTAGATTTTGTTGATGGATTTAAGTCACCATTTTTCATTATGTATGGGCAAAATTTTTGAATTATAAGTTGGTATTCTCATAAACAATGAATTTTGGATCTTCAATTGTACGTAGAATGCTGTAAAATGAGTGTAGCACATATTTATTTAAAAATTTGTATCGAATGTCTAAATTTTAGTCATGTTTTATTAGCTTTTAATTCTATAGTTATAAAAGTATTGTTAATGAAGGATAGCTTTTAATGTTACCCCATGCAGATCAACTGCGTCATTGGTCAGCTTATAATTTTTTTAAAACTTAAAACATCAATTCAGAGTTATAAGATTTTGCATACTTAGTAAGAGGCATGACTGCTAGAGGTTTAAGACACTTGAGTTTTTCTGATTCACCTTTTTGTAAACTTTATATGTTTGAAGGAGATAATATTCTGAAATAGCTGAAGGGTTATACATTTTTTTGGTTTGGTTTATCCAATTAATTTTACATGTGACCATCTTAAATATATTTTTTTAATAGTGAAGCATCTCCTTACATTTTAAATAGAAATTATGTTTTAAATTCAATGAAATGATGTTCTGATGCATTTTGTTAGGAATTTCATATTAATATGTTTTATAGAATATGTACAAAATCTCAACATTTTCTACCTTCTGTGTAGATATTAAGCAGAATTCAAAAACTGAGAATTTTTTCTAAAATATAATTAAAATGCACTCAAAAATTTTTTTTCTTTGAAACATGCTTGCCATTAGGATTTTTTGCACTATCTCCATTGATAAACTTAAATTTTACATTTTTGTGAAAGGGAAAGAGGAGTTAGTGGAATAGTTTTTAAAAATTTGCCATAAGAGTTTACTAAGCAGCATTCTGAATATGCTTATATATTCGAATAAATTAATTTTGAAACTGCTATTTAAAATAATAAAATTATATAAATGAAGATCATTTAGAAAAAAATAATAAAATGTGCTTTTTTTTTAAAAAAAAATTAATTTAATAAAATCATAAAATGTAAAAAAAAAAAATTGAGAATAAATTAATTACTTTACAAAATCAGTCTAATTTAGTAAGTTTAGTACTCAAAGTGTTAGTAATTTACCCACATTATCAGAGAAAGCCCAATTTGTAAATAAGGAATTTATTTTTTCACCATAAAAACCTTGTTTTATAATTTACTATTCAACAATTAAGTATGTTGTCAAGTAGTTCCATATGAAGATGTAAAACACACGTAACTTGTCACATTTTAAAGACTAACAATTGAGCGTGAGAATAACATACTCATTTCAACAGTAAGAAATTTTACTGTACAGAATTAAAAAGCGTACCAAACCTATGAAGAATTTTGGTCTTCCAAACATCTTTTGACCCTTGGATCAATGTTTGAAATGTTATAAATCTGCCAAAAATGTTAGAGAGAAATTTTGATTGATAGATAATTGTTATTCCTTTGCATTAAACCAATGTTCATACTAGCCTTTCTCCCTTTAACTGATTGGTAATAATATTGTTTTATCAAAAACTGGTTTACAAATACAAAAAATTCTGTTAAAGTTGAAGGAATATACTGAGTTTAAAACATGTTCAAAACCATAAGTGCTATATCATATGTTAAGATATATTCATTCATAAGATAAAAGATATCACATGGTAAGGCTAAAAGATGGCTCTTGAAAAAAAAAAACATTTTATTCATAATTATTGGATTTTCTTCAGAACATGTGATTTCAAAGTAAAGATTATTTAGAAATGACAATAACCTAGCTGGTGAGAAAAAAATATTTTGAATATTTATAAAATATTAATGTTTGCTCAAATATATCAAAAATTTTATATTTTGTTGTTTTTTTCCCCTTTTTATGAACAAAACAGAATCTTAAAGTGTGTGATACTTATTTCTCTGAATTGAAAAGCATGTCATTCATATTCTTTTAACCAGCCAAAAATATTTTAGTTGTTTACTATATTAGTGTAATAAAGTGTTTCTTTTAATAATAAGTATTAAATGTTATCATGAACTGTAAATTTTATTTATTATTATTATGTGTATATTTTCTGTATTTCAAACTTTACCTGTAGCATCTATAATATGTTATATTGTCTAATAATTTTCTTTTCAAATCAGGCAATTATTAAGATAGAAATTTTCTTACATTAGCTTAATTTGGGAAAACAATTCATAGTTTGTGAAAGGATGTATAAGAAAAGCATTATTTTGGAAAGTTTTCTAATCTTTTAACTGTCAGAATTTTTATAATTCCAGGATCATTTGTGTGGACATGAACCTGGTTTGACTGATGAACTTGGAATGATTTTAAATGATCTTACCACTTTGAATAAATCTGAAAATTCCAAAGTTGCTCTGAGAGCTCGACAGGTAATATAGTTTTTGCAATACTACTGCTTACAATGCCTTCTTTATGCTGTTAAGTAAAGATTATTAATTTTTAAATTATTTGCTTAGGTTTTGATTGCAGCTCATCAGCCTCCATATGAATTGCGCCACAATCAAATGGAATCCATATTTTTATCTGCAATAGATATGTATGGCCATGACTTTTGTCCTGAAAACCTTCAAAAACTAATAATGTCTGAAACTTCTATTTTTGATGTATTGCAAGATTTTTTTTATCATAGTAACATTGTTGTGCAAAGAGCTGCTTTAGAAGTGAGTTTCTGTGCTTTACATAATTCGACTTTGTGCATTAGAATTTTCAGTTTTTTTTAAATGAACCTTTTCTATTGTATTTTGTTCTTTATAAAGTGTTATAAAAATTTAATGTACATTTTTCATTAAATGTGTTTCTTTGATTTTAGGTTTATGTTAGGCGAGCCTATATCTCATATGAATTGACATGCTTAAAACATCAAAGTTTAATATCTGGCATTTGTGCTGTTGTCTTTCAGTTTTTACTTCCTTCATCTCATCCTAATAGGTAACAAATATTTCCTAGCTATTTTACTTTTAAGTCATATGTATCATTAATTATATTACTATTTGATATTATATATTGTTATTATATGTTGTATTTTTATTTGCATTTTTTATTTGGAAACTTTTATTTAATTGTTCATTCATTAGAAGAAAAAAGTGTAAAGTGGTTATATACAGTTTTAAACTCACCTTTGATTAGTGAGTATTGTGTTTTCAAATGTAAATATATTGTAAAAGTGCACCATAAAAATTCTAATTATTGACAATTAAAGGTAATGAAATTCATTTCAAAAGCAGGTGATGAAGCATGCTAGGTGGGAAAATTATGTCGATAAAGTGTTAAAACTAATAAAAATATGTATTGTTAAATGATACTATCAGAGTTATAATTTTTGACAGTTAAAGAAATCGTAAATCAAAAGCAAGTGACAAAGCATATTTGAGTGTTTTCACTACAGCGCGAGAACGCGAGAATCTCTCATATTTTTTTCTTTTCTCGCAATAAAAAATTATTGACTCGAGAAGTTCGCGTACTCTCTTAATCAATTTCAAATTGCGCAAATTTTGGAAAAAATTTCTTCTTTTACCATTATGAATAAAATCTTTTTCACTTTTCTTCCTTGATCTTTCATTATTTTGAACATCGGTCCTTGTCATCTAGCTTCCCTATTTACCAGTATTGTTCAGAACCGGTGCGAAAAGCAGGACACCACCCCCCGAACCACGGAACCCCTTTCAGAACACATTTCTCTGCAACCATGTGTTCACCGTAGGTAAGGTTTCTTCATGTAAGACGTTTACATTTTTTGTGCATGAATGTAAGATGGACGAATACCTTGTTAAGGCGACATCTTCTACTCCGTAACGGACAAATGAAAATGAAACAAATGTCGGTAGAAACTGTCAAAATGAAACAAATACTGATATTTTTCAGCCAAATAATAAATAGCTGATAAAAAAGTAGATATAGAACATTTTCCATATGATGATGCAGCAAAAATATTCAATTAGAAGATGTTTAAAATATATTATAATTAAAGAAATAATTATTTTCCAAGTCTATTCGTGTTTTTTTAATTTTTAGAAATCTCACTTAACTTTTTGAAATCTCACCCTGTTTTTGAGAAAGGGGGAGAAATTCTCTCCCATTTTTTTTCTGTAATGAAAACACTGATATTTGGTGAAAATATGATATTATATGAGGGTTCATTCGCCACAGATAAAATTAAAAAGCCCCTCCCATGGCAAAATCTACGTCATATGTGAGGGAATCTGTATCATATATGAGCCAATGAGCATCAGCAAGGAAATAAGTGAGCCGACATGCAATCATGTTTATAGATGTTCACGCTGGATGTGAAAAAATCGTGTATGAGAATTGAGAGATTCGAACGAGAACTTGATTGACAAGTTTTTTTCGGTAAATATATTTCACCAATAAGGTTTTCGTTTGCACCTCTGTATTCATATGTGAAAATTTTTGGTACTCGGTGTGAATGGTCCTTTACATTCGTATGGCTTGCTCAAGTCAATAAGATTATTCGTCATGTCTGATATGTAAAAATAATTTTGGCAGATTATCCACATTTACATAACATGTTTTAACTGGTAATTCCCAGATTATACAAAGGAAATTATGGTACTTTTATTCTTTGTAATAAATATTGTTCGATACTTGATAAAATGTTAATATTTAACTTCTATTGTCTGTTATGTAATGAAAAATAGGCGTATTATACATTGTGTTTTTTAAGCCTTTTTTTCTACTTTGGTTATGTTTTGTATTTGGCATTATTTATTTCTTAAGAATATCTTTTATCATTTTTCTTTAAATTAAAATCTTGATGTTCTTTCTGTTTTTTTTTAAATTTTTTATTTCTTAAAGCTTTATATTCTTTTATTGTTTAGAATTGGGGACAGTCTGGAAATAACAAGAGGACATTATATTATAAATTTTTCTATATCTTTATCTAGTAAATTAAACAAAATTTCTTAGTTTATAAAATTTTCATTAATTCTTAAAATTCCATGAACCTTTATTTATCTGTGTATTTTCTTTTACCAAACATATCTTACTTTATCCTTGTTTTGGAATTTTTAATGTTTGGCTGTAAAGGTTTCACAGATTTTACTTTTAAGTCACAATCATCAAATTATTTAGATTAAACCATTGTTTAATTAGAAGTTGAACAAAGTACATTTATATCCATCTACTTGAAAATTATTTGCTTTTACTTTTTAAACAAAATTTAATGTAGCTAATTTCTTTTGTTTTTTTTTTTAAAGTAAAAGCAAACTTAAGTATAATTTACAAAACTATTTTGCAGAAATAATAGTTCTTACAAAATAATCATCAAATACACTAATATGCATACAAAAAATAGCTATTAAGTGAAACTTATTAAAAAAACTGAGTTATTAAATAACTGTAAAAGGATACTGATTGTTTCATTTAAGCTTTACAGATTACTATTTTGTTTGAATAAGTAATTTGTTAATTTTTACACTAAAGGTAAATTTATTGCAAATAAAAAAATTTTCTTTAAAGCAATGCTAACTAAGAAATAGTAGAAAACATAATGGATAACACAGTGTCAGATTTGTCATAAAGAAAATGATAAAATACTTTTGATGCAATGATTTTTTTCTGCCTTTATTCATAAGTTAGACATATGGCTATCTTTAATTTGTCTTTCTTCATATGCATTATTTAATATCAGTTTCCAAAACAATGAAATAATTTTGTAGTCATGTGACAAGTTCTGTGGAAATTTTGATCAAATGTTTTCGAGGTGTTTTTTTTATCAAAAAATTATTAAAAACTGATAACATAATAAATGTTCTGCATTAAAATCTGTTAAAAATGAAAATATTGTATCTATATAAAAGTTATTAATATAAGAGAATTATATTAATTTTTATTTAAAATAACATATAGACAAAGTGCAAATCAGAGGGCTGAAAATCATGCATATCATTTATGAAATATCAAAAGTGGATTCATCATATCCACAATAACAAAAAACGACATTTTTTATCTGGTTTTATGTGTTTTTTGAGACAAAAACTTCAAAAAAAAAATCATATTTTAGGGAATTATGGCCAAAAACAAAATGAAAGGGCTCTGGAATTTAAGATATTATAAGTTAAAATGACAATTAATTCCAATAATTTGCTATAGGAAAATAGAATTATAAATCAATAAGAACAATAAAGAAAAATACATTTCTGATAAAGTAAATGTTAAATTAAGAATCAAAAAGGTTTGGTAATAAAGTAGAAAATGAGCATTTGCTTATTAAAATATTGTGTGTTAAAAAATTAGATGGAATTGGTGAGGATTAATAGATAATAATATTAAAATTGTATTGCATGCACAGTGCATAGAAAGAAAGGGGTTAAGCAATGAAATTTTATCTTCAAAGATGTTCTAAGTTTCTGCCATGAACTATTTATAGTTTCTGGACAAGCATGTTTGCATTTAATTTTTATAAGAAAGCATAGCTGAATAAAGTAGAAATACCATATTCCTCCTTTGTTCAGAGCCTCTCTGAAATTTTTTATTTGCATTAGAAAACTTTGCAAAGGAAAATTTTCTCCCAAATTGTAATTAATGGTCCTGAGTTATCCTTTGTTATCATTTAAAATTCCTTTGTTTTATCTCTTCACCTCTAAAATATTATAAAAAATGATTTTTTTAGAAAATATTATGTACTTAATAAATAGCTACTAAAAAAATTAAGAAATGTCCTTTTTTAGTGTATTTTTATTGATCTTTCTGCTGTATACTTATTGAGTAATACATTTCATATATTCTTTTTCAGAGCGTTTCATTTCACATCTTGCAACATGAAGAGTGAAGACCAATCATCTGTTTCTAGTTGGGATATAAAAGAAGCTTATGAAAATTGTCATAGATATGGACTCTTAGCAGCTTTCTCAAGTTTTGATGCATTTAAGAGGTATGATGAAAGAAAACTTTTTTAGTTTATTTTAGTCTAATTATAGGTTCTAAAAATTCATGTGTTTCTTTTTCTACAGCAATTTTGAAAAGATGATAGAACTTTTTGAAACTGCTGATTTTCCAAACAGAACAGAAGATGCTAACTCAAATACTTACGAAGAAGAACATGGGGTAAATTTGACACCCGAGGAATCTTCTGTAATTATGAGCTTTTTTATTTACTAGGTTTCTTTTTAAATTTAATACATATAGGTACTGATATTTTCTTTTTTCTGTTTCTCCTTCAGCATGCCGATTATTTAAATATTATTAATGTTGCTATATTGATGCAAAGTATGGATGAAGATAATAATTATAGCAAGATGTTTGCCCAGTTTTGCAAAGAACATGTAAGTTATTAACTTAGTTATTTTGTGTTGCATTGTAATAAAAATAATCAATTTGAAGCTTTTTTTAAATTCTAGCTACATCATTTCAACAGTAAGAAACTGCGTCGCATCACATTCATTGTTTTACACAAGGTAAATTGTTTCGATATTAATTTTATTTTTATAGCATTTTAACTGCAGCTATGATAAACCATAAGGTTTATATACTCCAATGTGGCTGATTTATTTATCACTTTTTGAGTAACTAGGATAATATTTGTTTCCTGAGTTATTGTCACTATTTGCAAAATCATTGTTTTCTGCTAATAAAGCATATTTTTTTTCACTACATCAAGATTACCATCTAAAGCTGGTAACTTGAGGCTTGCCGCTTAAAGTTTTGTTGCACAGTGTTTACATTTATTTTAAATTAGTATTTTAGAAGAAAGAAAAGATGAAGGAAGAATGCAAAAAGATAAAACTTTGTAAGACACGGAAGATCTAAGAAGTCCCAACATCCTAAACATGCTTTATAATGTTCAGGTTATAGACTTAACTGGCTAATCCATCCAAGGGCATCCACTGGCTAATCCATACTTTTACTTTCCAGAAAACTGTTAACCAGATGAGTGTTATGTTGCAATGCCTTATCTTTTATTAAAAAGAAAATTAGGTCAAATTTACCCCTAAGAAGTTAACATAGACTTGTAAGATATTATCTTTTTACCTGAAACCAGGTAAAGAGGGTTTTTCGAAAATTTGGAAAGGCATGCAGCCATTCAATGAAAAACCTGAAGAGATTATTAAGCCTATGTTATCATAAGGTTCGTTTTTGGGTAATGGTGGATGAGAGTAAATTAGAGGTTCTCTATATGAATATATGAACCGTTTGAACTATAGCCATGAAATGTCTGAGAAATTTACCATTATGAAAGCTGAGGTTTGGTGGTCTTTATAGGCTTTTTGTAGAATGGTCGTTTTTTCCATGTCTTCAAGCAGTATGATTGGTTTGAGTTATAGCCATTAAAATCTACTGAGTAATTTTCGAGATTATTGACAAAATTTAAAAATTTTCTTAATTTCGATCACCAATATTAAAAAAATAATAAAATATGTAAAGACATTTTAATAACTGATGTTTTTAAACATATAAAAGAAAAATTATTTGTTGGGAATAATTGAAAATTTATAAATTGGAAAATGAAATGTTCCAAATATAAAAAAACAAGACATAAGGAAACTTATTGCTTTTGACAATCAATTAAGGTATTTAAATAAGTACGATAAAATATTTGAAATGTATAAAATATTTGAACCTATATATTAATATTGAGTACATGGCAGGAAATCTCTTACTAACTAATTCAATTAGAGCTGCTTGACTGATTAAAAATCAGTTTTTTGAGTATCTGAACTGAAACTCCTTTTTTACTCACATATCAAAAGAAATGTTTTTTTGGGGAAATCTGGCATTCTTTTACTGATTGAGCTGTTGCAATGCCTGAAGATATCCTTTCACTTCCTGCTTTTTCTTCTTCAATTTTATATAACTTCATTGCTTATAGTTTAGTTTTTGTTTAATAAATATTTTGAGTAATTTATTTTAAGTTTCCTTTTATTTTTCAGCAATTGTTTCCAAAGTACTTCACTTACAGAGCCCGAGATAATGTAAGTTATGGAATTTTTTTTATTGAGTTTATAAAATGACCAATTTTATACATTTAGATCATTGTTTTTCTTAATAGTTTGAAGAAGATTGTATCTACAGACATTTGGAGCCTGCTTTGGCTTTTCAATTAGAAATTAATCGTTTAAGAAACTATGATTTAGAAGCCATTCCAACAGCCAACCAGAAAATGCATTTATATTTAGGCAAAGCAAAAGTATGTGTAATGCATTTTTAACTAACTACTCTTTATGTTTAATATTTCAAATACACTGTTATAGGAAAATATATTATGCCTCATCAGAATCGCTAGATTTTGCAGGGCCCCTTAAATATTTTCTTTCTGCAGTGCCTCTAAAAAAATGAATAACTTATATCCCCAGATTTCTGCCTATATTATTAAAATAAACTTTTTTTTTACTTTTTCAAATTTCAATCCTAAAACTGAACAATTTAACTTTTTTCCTATTTTTTATCTTTCAAATTTTATACTATGGTTACTTTTTTATGTTTTATATACATATCATTTATGGCCCTTAAAAAATAGGAGTTTAAGGAAAAGAGTCCAAAAATTCAAAAATGTTATTTTTTAATTTGATAATTTTAATTTCTTATAAAGTTTGAAAGTCGAGAATAAAAATGTCACTAAACTTTTCTTCTATTCCATCTATATTATAAAATAGAAAAAATGTTCTTATTAATATTAAAAATAGTTTTTTTTTAAAAATAAATTTTTTATAATTATTAATAGAAGATTAAATATTCACAGCATGAGTCTCCCACAGTGGCACTGTACCTCTTGTATCTCTGCATATTGTAAAAGAAATTTCCTACTGTGAGAGGTGGAAAATATAAATAATTTATATTTAATATATAAATATATATAAACAATTATTATTATACAAATATCTATGAATAATTAGCATAATATAAATTTATTTCTATTTAATTATTGGGATACAAACAGTAATCTTATGTTCTTTGGACTATATTATGTGTGATAATATTTGATGAGTTACAAATTTCTTGACCTTTTTTTTTTTGTTTTAGAATATGATTTGCAAATTTTTTTTCTTCAACTTATAGATTTCTAGAATCAAAATTTGAGCATTTTTTTTGTTTGTTTATTAACAAAATAGTGCAGAATTGTGCTGATGAGAAAGTCAGGCAAATCTGATAATTGAATCGTTGCACACAAAAATGTATAGAGCCCTGCTCACTACTTGAGATAGTTGAGAAAAGAAAACTTTTTTTCTCCACTTTTCTATTACATAGACCATAATAATTTTTTTCAAATTTTTCACACAGACAGGAAAAGCTAAAAATATTTTTTGTTAGCAATTTTGAAAAGTAATTAGAAGGACTGAAGTCATATCTGCATGCAGAGTTTTAATACCTAAAAGATGTGCATATCCTTAAGTTAAGTCTCTGTACATTTTAATACAATCTATTTTTTAAAATAAATTTTAAAATTTATTCATATCGCATATTTTTGAATTACTATAATGACGAAATCACTGGTTAAACTACTTTATATATAATATTTTCTAATAGAAAGTTTCAAAATTATTACTTTTTACAAATTGATTGTTTTTATGTTGATGTTTCTTAAAAGTTTTAAGTTTGATGCTAGCTGATTTTTAATGTTACTCATTAATATATCATATTAAATGTTTTTTTTTCCTTACTAGGTTGCAAAAGGTCAAGAAGTAACAGACTTTAGATTTTTCATCCGTTCTATTATTAGGCACTCAGATTTAATCACAAAGGTATGAAAGGTTTCAATCCTTGTTTCTAAATTAAATATACTGAGTTTTCTGTTATAACTGTATAAACATTTTAAGGAAACTTTATCAGTGAAGAAATAATAATGGTATACACATGAAAAGGTCGTAAAATTAATATTTAAGGCTTTGAAAAAAGAAACCCTATCAAAGTCTAATGAAGGCAAAACTGAAAATTCAAAACTTGTTTGATGGCCCAAGAGAAGGCAAAAGGTGATTTTTCGAACCAATGTTTGCCCCATTATTCAAACAGTTTTTGATATTTTTTCCCTGCCTTCCTGAAGGGTGATTCATTAAATGTTGATAGCATCTTTTTGCCACTTAAATATTAATTTATGACCTTTGTGCATTGTATATAATATGAAGCAGACTGTAATGGCTTGATTAAACATTTATTAAACAAAACTTAATAAAACAAATGAGCTATGTACACGAAAATTATTGCGGCTGCTGCAATAGCAGTAAACAATGAAAGGTAGCCCATGAGAGAGCTGACAAGTGAATTTCCTTGTTCGAAGTTCTTGAGTAAAAAGAATGCTTGATTCTATGACAGCGATGCAAAGTGGAGTAGGAGGTGCGATAAGGGTAAAACGCGTAGGCGTATATTTTTGATATCTAACAACCTTTATTGTGTACAGTCGGCAAAAAAAAAAAGATATCACCCTGAATAATTTTCGTTCTAATGATCGGATTTTCACGAACTAAGTGTTAATCTTAATGGTTCCTGGGGGTGACCTCAAATATGCTAATTAATTAGTGCTAACTATTAATTAAGTTACGAAATCAGACACAAAAACGTACTTTCTCTGAATAAACATATATTTTTTCTTACATATTTGGATTCTTAACCTTCAAAATATAGGGGGTAGCCGCAATCTGGGAAATATGGTCCCCATAGTTTGGTCAGGAGAGCGATCCAAAGTTCGTACCCCTTAATGTTAATTTCACTTTTTACGTTTTTAGTCATATTTTAAAAACTAATAAAGCAATTCGAAGAAAATTTCACCCAGTCATAAAACTCATTTACCCAAAGATAATTTCACGAAAAAAATAATTTTTAATAATTGTTAATTATTTTTTATTATTTAATTAAATTAAGGATGAAAAATTTTTGAATTATAAGGTATGAATTTTTTTATACCATATTAATCTACATATTTTTCAATTGAAAAATCTAAAGTTTCAACTGTTTTTATTTATTAGAAGCTGAGAAAAATTAAAATTAATTATTTTTAAAAAAATAATTTGGCGACAATGAAGAAATGATTAAATGGAGCGATTAATATTAAAATGTGATAAACTTGCGAGGAACTTGACTTCGCGCGCTTAGCATAAAATTTCATTCATATTTTTTTCGCTAATAATCGTTTGCTTATCTTTTCATTTTTATTTTTTTAAGCTATAAAATACGATGTTTCTTCTTTAGTCGTCTAAAATTCTATTTGCAATTTAGTAAAGAAATTTGAATAAAACATTTTATTGAATAAAATACATTTTATTCAGAGAATGTGGAGTTTTATAAAAGCATGCTTCTGATAGAATATGATTATACAACAGATTGTGCTTCTTTAATGTGATTTTTTTTTATTTTTTTTTTCTCAATAACTGATAAAATTTCAATAATATACATACGAATGAATAAATTTGGAATAAAATATTCATCAATTTCTTGAATATATATTTTATAAATATTAATAAAAATACGCAGTCAACATTTTTAAGCATCTCTCACAACATCGCAAATTTCTCAAAATCTTATAGGGTAAACTAACCAGTGAAGGAATACTTAAGCTTAGCTTGTCTTTAAAAAAAAATCATAAAAATTTCAAAATTTGTAATTTTAGCTAAATGACGTATTTGTTATTAAATGCATGTCGACATATTTGTTATTAAATGCAAATTATGTAAAAAAAATTTAGATAACTTACATAATATTGTTTTAAGCTTTTGGTGGTTTAAATAATAAGTAGTAAGATAACCAAGTGAAGGAACAGTTCTTAAATTGAATAAACACTAAATTTTCCAGTGAATGAACACTTAATTTTGAGAATGTTTGATGCTCGTTAGGAATCCTTAGGCCACACAGATATCTGTCGCCCTGTAGATGCCTGAATTGACGGATGTTAACACAGGCGGGCATTAGGAAAAAAAAATCTTTTAAGTTTTCGTGCCCCCATTTCAGTATCTTAAGGGCCTTACGAGCTCTGTTTAAAAAGAGAGTATCATATCAGATATATATATATATATAAGAAAACAAAAATAATCATAGTAGCAGTATTTGGTGGTAAATGTAGCTTATCGTAATTGAAGAATATGCTGTGCGACATTTTATGGTGAATTTGCGAACGTAAGTTTCAGAATGTATCGAAACATGTGGATGCTATTTGCTAATCATCTTTATCCAAAGAAAACCATGTAACGTAAATATCTAGCAAAATGAAGCAATTTTTTAAACAATGAATCATACAATATGCAACATATTATTTCTATATCTTATTCTTAAACATAACATATTTCAATGTTTTTAAAATGCCACTAAACATTCAGCAATTCATTGAGTTATAGAAAAAAGAAATCGTAAATTACAGAAAACCTTGTGAATGTGCATTAGAATTACTATACAATCTACATTTTATTTTTCATGCACTTTTTTTTCCTTCAAACTTTCATGCCTAGAAGACTCGATTAAAGCTGTAAAAATCATTATCCCTAAAATTTTGTATATAGCTATTATAAGTTATGTTAATTTGATTTTAGTATGAAATCCTCGAATAAACATAGCAAAAATAGCATAATCTAAATAATATCAGATAAAAAGTTCATGTATTTAAATTCTGAAAACTTATAAATCGATTCAAATTTTCTTTTCAAAAGAGATTAAAATAATTTTTTATTTTATTTATTTATTTATTTTTTTTGCTTTTTGGACATAAATGAACTTAAAAATTGTCTATTGCCTAGAAACTTCGAGGTGTTTTCTATTAACTATTAATTAAACCTCTCAGAGCAATCACAAAACATTATTTCAATTTTTTTACAGTCAGAAATTGGTTGCCTAGCAACCTAGTAAAATTAAGCGTTTCTCTTTTGAATCAGTCAATGGGTTATCTTAAAATATTTATTTGCGCAGGCGACTTTTTTTGGCGGTTTTCTGGACTATCGCCAAATATATAAACCTTTATTGCAACCCAATTTACGACCCAATTGTTTTAAAATTTTGTCTACCCCCCCTAATTCAAGTGTCTAGATTCCAAATATGTAAAAAAAAATATATGTTTATTCAGAGAAAGTACGTTTTTGTGTCTGATTTCGTAACTTAATTAATAGTTAGCACTAATTAATTAGCATATTTGAGGTCAGCCCCAGGAGCCATTAAGATTGACACTTAGTTCGTGAAAATTGGATCATTAGAACGAAAGTTATTCAGGGTGATATCTTTTTTTTTTTGCGGACTGTACACTTTTTTTTACATTGTTTTTGACAAAGATTCTAAAAATTAACATTAAAGGTGATCATTGTGTAGCCATCTGTATCTGAGTAGTTTAGTCTAAATATTTTTTACAGGAAGCCTCGTATGAGTATTTGCAAAATGAAGGAGAGAGATTACTTTTAGAAGCAATGGATGAATTAGAAGTTGCATTTACGCATCCTCAGGTATGATAGCTATTTTCATATAGAGAACTTGGTTGTTTTTTGTTTTAGTAAAACAATTACAGCCAGAGTTGTGGAGTAGTCAATAGTTGAACTTCTGGGATTTTCAATAAATTTTAGTCGAGTATTAATATTATTACTTATTAAATGTTAATTTTTCATCATGAGTGTTTATGTATTATTGCTCTTCGCAGAAATATATTTGTAAGATTGTGTGTAAATTTAAAGTTAAATCATTGTCTCTAAAAATTCATTAAATTATACTTACCATCTCCAACTCTATGTTCTGATAGTATTTTAAATTACTTAAAAAATGCAATTATAGAATATTTATTCAGAGGAATGTTTTTATACCTTATTTTGTAATTTAAACTATTGTCTGCTCTAAATAATTAGCCTATTTCAGGTTGGTGATTAATTAATTGAGTTCTAGTATGTGAAAATCCAGTTCTTTAAATTTTCAGTTATTCAGACTGTTTGCGTTTTTGTGTATTGTAGATAAATTATCATATAATAATTGTACAGTAGAGAACCGATTAACCTGGATGCTTAGGACCATTGCTATCCCGGATGTTTGAATTTCCCGGTTTTCTGGATCGGCCAAAAGTGCCGTTAATCGATGTTTTATCAAACCCAAATTGCAAGGAAAAAGTTCAACATATTTAAAAACAGGGAAAAAACGAAAAGATCTCCTAAATTAAAAAAAAATGGTTGAAAAATAACATTTAAAAGGATAAAAACATTTGCAAATTTAGACAAGAAAAACAAGTTTAAGAAATACAAAATTTGCATATTTATTTTTTGATAATAATTAAAATCCCCAAATTAATTAATATAAAACAAAACCAATAATTAAAAAACGCAATATATTCATACCTAATTATGCTGGGGGGGAGGAGGATGAAAAGAAAACTTATTAATCTAAATAAAAACAGCACTTGAAAATTATGGAGCGGAAACGATATTTAAAAAAGGCACTAACATAAGTATTGAAACCTCGAAGAGACAGGATATTATAAGATAAACGGAATTAAAAAAAACAAAAACTTAATGATAAAATTTATGAGTAAAAAGAATTAATTTACTGAGTACGAAATTTATCCTAAAAGAAAAAAAAAACAATGCAGTGAAATCAGAAAAACAGAATAAAAATAAATAAATAAATAAAAAAACTATCTTCTTTATAAAATAATCGCCTGCTTTTATTAACAAATAATTATATGCTTAAATTAATAAGCAATCTTCTCCTTTTATTTTATTTTTTTTATTAAAAGACTATTTTTAACGAAAGCAGATGTGATTGCACATCAAGAAAAACTTGCTAATGCCATCACATTTCTAAGAAATCAGAATTTATTCTACAAAAAAATATTGTTTTGTTAATTGATGTCAAATAGATGAATATAACTGGTGATTAAATAATTCATTATCCGAAATAATAAAACAATTCACCATAATAAATAACAAAACTGAGTAACTGAAGTGGATGATTCAAAATAAATCTCACATTTCACCCTTAAAATCAATACTCTTAGCCAGATGTTTCAAGTTCCTTAACTCAAACATTCATTGCTATGCCTGTGCAATGCATTTTCCCCACCCCCTCGTAAATCAAAGAGAAAATGAAATCAGCTTGCCACTCCTTTAAGTTTGATTGATGGCAGCTTATCAGAAAAAGAAAATAAACACAGGAGAAAATAGAACATTCCTCCCTTCCCTGCCCCCTCTGGATCTAATGATCTTCAAGGTCAGGGGAAGAATTGAAATTCCTCTGGGCAAGTGAGGAGAAGAATTCCCCCCTTTCCCTCTACTCAACTTTAAGGATGAGTCAAATTTCCGCTTTTTTTTTATAGTACTTTAAAATAGCAAGAAAACCAAGCAAAATTATTCCCGGTTTTCTGGTTTCCCGGTTATCTGGATACCAGATAAATGGTTCTCTACTGTATTTACCATATTCATTTAATCAAACAATGTGCATTAGTATTTGATTCATTATTTAGTTTTACAAAATATATGTTTTTTCTCATCAGTTGTATACATTATATTATATTAAGTTGACACCATTGTACTTTTAAAATGCCACTGCATTATTCAATTGTAACTAAAGAATAATTAGAGTTATTAATTAAAATTTGCTTTATTTAATTGAATATATTTTATATAACAGAATTATTCTCTGACTCTATGTACCTTTTAACTAGGCAAAAAGAACAGATTGTAATCATATATTTCTGAACTTTGTGCCAAAAGTAACAATGGATCTGTCAAAAGTAAGTTTAAAAATTTTATGCTTACTAATCCATTCTGTTTCTGTATTAATTACTTTTACTTTCTACTATTAAAGATAGCTGAAAATGTTCGTGCTATGGTAATGAGGTATGGTCCAAGGTTATGGAAGTTGAGAGTTTTGCAAGCCGAATTGAAAATGACTATAAGGTAATTATTTAATAAGCAGATTGACTAATACAGTAGAACCTGATTATCCACATATTGGGTGGCAAGGGCGCAGCAGATAACAAGAATCGTATATAATCTGAAAAACTCAAAGTAAGGTGGAAACACGAAAAAAAATATTTTGAAACATATTCATGCATGTGTATATAATTTTAAACATACAACAGAAATCTTTGTTTTACATCCAAATCAATGAAACTACGAATTGCAAAGAAAAATTAGTACATGCATATTTCATAAAAGTGTTCTTAAATAAATGTGTTCAGTTACTTCTGTTCAGTTCATCTGTTTTTTTTTAAAATCGATTATTGATCTAGTGAAATTGGGACTCCTCGAATCATAACTTGTGAAATCTGAATATATTTGATTGGAGCTCCCTTTGCCGAATTCCCGGATAATCCGAGCTCTACTCTATTCTTAACATTATCATTCTTGAATTAAGAAATATATATTTTTGTAATTAATGTGTTGATTAGGCTTACTCCAACTGCTAAGTGCATGCCTATTCGCCTTTATCTTGCAAATGAGAGTGGTTATTATTTGGATATGAATTTGTATAAAGAAGTGACTGATCCTAACACTGGATTTACCAAATTTGAAGCCTGGGGTCATAAGCAAGGAGCACTGCATGATTTGCCTATATCAACTCCTTATATGACTAAAGATTATTTACAGTTGAAACGTTTTCAAGCTCAGTCAAATGGAACAACTTATGTTTATGATTTTCCTGACATGTTTCAACAGGTACGAATTAGTTTCTTTATAACCTACCTTTTTGTGTAGCATTATTTCATTATTTTTTCTTTTGTGTACAGTCATTAAGTCGTCTGTGGGAAGAATTCACTATTGGTAGGCCTGAAATTGAAATACCATCCCAGCTGCTGAAATTCACAGAATTAGTGCTAGATGTGACTGATAATTTAGTGGAAAGAAAAAGATTGCCTGGCGAAAACGATGTAAGATATGTTTTTTGTTTTTTTCTGTTGCATTTAGGCCTTTCTTTGCAATGATGATAACTATGCAAGCAACATAAAATATAATACAGTAGAGCACTGATAATCCTGATCAAGTATTACTGTTAATAAAGAGAAAAAAACCCAGATAATTGGACAATTTTAAAAAATGCACTTGAATATTTTTTTATTTAACTTGTCAGCATTTTTGTAAGAATCAAATATAAAATGTTTTGTTTACATCTTTTTAAAATTTAAACTTTTATTTGTCTTTCAGTTCATGTAACCTACTCTCTACAAAACTAATTCAAAGTTTACAATCTAATTAGTTTTATTTTAATATCCAGTACAATTGATAGGCTGATGTCATAAGTTCTTTGTTGTTGCTCTTTTTCTCTTTCTTAATACTTTTAACAATTTCAAAATGTTGATGTTATGATAGTACTACTCTTTCACATTTTCTAAGCATGTTTGTAAACACCTCCTACTAATAGTGTACTAATAAAAAGAGTAATTAGTGGTGATGTGTAATTTCTGTCTCCTCATAGTAGTGTGATGATATCGATCTCTCACAAAAATCTCCATCTATATTTTCATTCTTTAACATAAAGAATGTATCTCAATGTACAATATTGTGAAACATTTTTATATGAAAAGGGTAATAAGCAGAAAATTTTAAAGATTGATCAAAATTGTAATTTTATTTACCATCATCATGGTTGGCTTTAACACCCAGTGTGGGCCAAGGTCTTCTGTTCTGTCCTCCAGGACAGTCTACTTTCTTATAAACAGTAAATTAAAAGTACTCTTTAATATGCAAAAAAAAACCCTGTTTTTTGGATCAAGTGCAGCTAATGATATCTGGGACTGATTTAATTTCTGATGTTAGATAAATTACATACCCATATGTTTTAAAATAACCTTCATCTAAAGTAATGTACTTCTGTATTCGGCTGTAAAATTTTTAGAATTCACTTTTAGAGTCCTCTTTAGGAATGTGCAATTCTTATTGTCCACAACACACTTAAATCTTGTTCCGATAATATAATTTTTCTGTTTTCGAATCAAAAAAAAATCTACCAAGAGATTTGCCCTCTGAGTATGTTGATTCATCTTAACAAACATGAGAACTAAAAATTTGGAAATGAATCAAGGTTTAAAGATGTGAAAATCATCAAGAAAATTCCAATGTCAGAATTATAGAGCATTCGAAGCGAGGACTGATAAAGTTTCTAACTCTTTTTTATTCAAATAAAGGAGTTCAGTGTGCATAGTAATAAAGAGAATGACTGCTTTTGATCTAATGATTGGATTTTCACGTATTTAGATGCAATAGTAATGATTCAAGGAACTGACCTTAAGTATGCTAAAATGTTTATCCAGATGATGTTTAATTTCAAAAGTCAGACAAAAAAATTTACTTTCTCTGAATAAAAAAATAGTTTTTTTTTATAGATTTAGATTCCTGACCCTCAAAATATGGGAGATAATTACAATCTGGAAAATAAGGTCCCAATAGTTTAGGCAGAAGAGAGGTTAAAATTTTAGGTCCTTAATGCTTAGTTCAGTTTTTACATATAAGACCGTATTTCTGTAACTGCAGGGGTGCTACGCCTGCGCCATTTGCGACAAACTGAGACAAAACGGCATAACTGCGCCGTTTTGCGACATCCAGCTCAGTTTCTGCCAAAGCAGCGCCATTCTGAGACAAAACGTCCAAAATTTGACACACCTGAATTCAGTTTCAAATATTAATCTGCATCGCCGTGAGTCATTGGAGAGCATTTTGCCGTTCACGTTTCCTAAATATGGCATTTAAATGTCAGAAATTCCGTTTGGCGAATCAGCTATTGGAATGCATATAGAATATGCGTTTCGTGTCTATAATTGGATTATGTACAGCAGTGAGTAGCAATCAGTATCGTATGCACGTGATCTTGTAAAAAAAGAGGGTATTCTTCCCATATACTATTGGTTATTATCTTGCTTTTTTTTCTTAGGAAACTGTACAGTACACGTAATTATGTCAGGGAGGAAAGACTTCCGCGAAAAAGCGGAAATCCGCTTTTTTCTCCCAATTTTTAAAATTTCCGACCATGTTCCAAAAACTGAAATATTTAGGGAGTCCAATTAGAGAAACCCAAGGGATTACCGCGACTTCCGCTATAGAGTAGAAAGGAGTCTAAGCGTTTCGTTTCAACCGCCGATATTTGATTTTTTTTTTGTTTGACTGATTTTCGGAATTTTAAATATTAGGAACTGCCCTGGAATATGCTAAAATCGCGATTTTTAATCAGACGATTTTAATATCAATCATCGATTTTCGTATTTAACTGATTAAAACTTACGTGTTGCAATTTCTTTTACGCTGTTTAAAAATCGTACTAGCAATTGCTATTCACTCAATTTAAAAATTCAATATCGCGATCTGTATTCTCGCGAGTTTAAAATCCAACGTCGCGATTCGTATTCACGCATTTTTAAATCCAATATTGCGATTCGTTATCACGCAGTTGTAATATCAGATCTCGTTTTCCGTATTTGTACGCTATTTAAAAATTACTCATTGCGATTCGTATTCACGTGATCTAAAAATTATGCATCGTGATTCTTATTTACGCGATTTAAAAATTCAATATCGCTATTTGTATTTTCGCGTTTCTAAAATCCCGCAGCGCGATTCTTATTCACGTGATTTTAAAATTCAAAATCGTGATTCATATTCACGCGATTTTAAAATCCAACCGCACGATTCATATTCACGCGATTTTTAAATCCAAAATAGTGATTCATATTCACGCGATTTTAAAATCCAAAATCGTGATTTATATTCACGCGATTTTAAAATCCAATATCGTGATTTGTATTTTCGTGTTTTTAAAATCCAACAGCGTGATTCATATTCACATGATTTTATAATCCAAAATCGCGATTCATATTCACGCGATTTTAAAATCCAACCGCACGATTCATATTCACGTGATTTTAAAATCCGATATCGTGATTCATATTCACTTGATTTTAAAATCAAAAATCGCGATTCATGTTCACTCGATTTTAAAATCCAATATCGTGATTCATATTCACGCGATTTTGAAATCCAATATCGCGATTCATATTCACGCGATTTTAAAATCCAAAATCGCGATTCATATTCACGCTATTTTAAAATCCAATATCGTGATTCATATTCACACGATTTTGTAATTCAATATCGCGATTCATATTCACGCGATTTTAAAACCCAAAATCGCAATTCATATTCACGCAATTTTAAAATCCAGTTTCACGATTCTAGAAAGAAGTAGAATTAAGTTTTTTCTTGAATTAGTTACTGTAAAGATGTGATATATTTTTCTACAGTTGTTGCATTTAAACAATTACTAAGTGCATTCATAATCACATTTTATGATTGTATATTTAGCTATATAAATTAAAAGAACATAGTCAACTAACTAATCTTGTGAATGCAAGAAAGTACAATCTACTAGTCAATGCCAATAAACTAAAAAGTTTACTTTTATACTTAATAAAGGATGCAAGTCATTTTAGAAAGAAAATTATATTTATATGTGTCTTTTTAAATTGTTTATAATAGTTTTTAAATATTTCTGTTTTGATATAAAAATGTATATATGCTAATTTTTGGCTATTAAGTGCTCCCTAAAATTTTCTTGAAAAATTCCTACCTAAAATATTTCAAAATTTCACTGCACCTCCTGAATTCTATCAAAGAGGGTTTTTTTTTGTGTTATTTGCATTTTCTTAAACTCTCATTATTTAATTACTGAATTTCTCTTTTAATTATTGAAATCTGTAGACCTTTCATTGTAACTGAATAGTTATATATTTTGAGATGAAATTTGAGCTCAAAATAAAATGGGTATTTTCCCTTTTGAATTACTGAAACTAAATAGATATTTCTTTTTAGAAAGTTAACACCATTATATTTTAAAAAATAAGAAAGTTAAAATTTACTTTGTAAAATTCTGGAACAGATACTATTCATTGGCATAAATGATAAATGCAATATATATGAAAACAACAGAGTCCATAAAACAATTTTGTGGACTCTTATAATCAATCATATGCAGGTTTTTTAAAATCCTAGCAATAGTGAATGTATGTATAATTGTAGTACTCCTAGTATGCTATTAATGGTTTTATGGATCCTGAAAATTATCTTTATATTGTTATCAAACTGATTAATAGTCATTTTAGCTGAGATAAACTGAGTCAAAAAATAATTTTAGCTGAGACAAAGTGAGCCAAAAAGAGATTTTAACTGAGACGAAATGCAATTTCTGGTGAGACAATTTGATATTTTGCGAGTAGCACCCCTGTAACTGTTTAAAATAATTTTGTTTTACAATTGTAAAACTTGATTATCAGGGTGGCCACCCACCTGGAAAACTTTGAAAACCTGGAATTATCAGGGAATTTTTTTGTACTGGAAAAAACCTGCAAAAATCAGGAAAATTTGGATAAAAACCTGGAAAAATCAGGGAATTTTAGAGAAAAGCTGAATTTTTTTTTAATTTCACTAATTTAAATTATTTACTAATTTTCTGAATTTAAATTATTTCATCCATTATACCCACGTTTTTTAGACGGAAATGTATCTCCAAGCAGTTGAAGTATCATCAACTTAGCAATACTTTGCTTGCTTCAAAATTTGCTCCATTACAGCTCTGTTAAACTAGAATGCCACATAAAATTCTCCCACTGTTGCTAAACGAATGTGGAAACCTTTGACCGCTATGGACTGTGCAATTTAGGAAGGATTGTGGTGGAGGTGGAAGAAGGGATTAGGATATTAGCTTCTGTTTTTAAATTCTGTCCTTGGGCTGAATCCATTTATGGCTTAAGTTTGTTCCAATGATTTCTTGGTAATTTTTTTTCCATTTTGACAAAATGTTTTTGTATTTTTAACTTTATAAAATTCTCCAAAAATTAGTTGGTTATAATTTAATAATAATAATAGATTTTATATTGCACTCTTTTTCTGAAAGCTTTTGTATTCCCATTAAAAGAAATATGTGAATTATTTTTTCTCAGCAAAAAAAAATGTGTGATTGGTTGGAATCACACATTTTTTTTTACAATCGCTAACAGCAATGTTTATTGTCAATGTCAAATTGTTACAATTGTTGCATTAATGCTAATTTTTTCTATTTCATTTTAACCTTTTATAACATATTTTAATTTAAAAAAAGGTTTTTTTTAAGAACTAACTACGTACTAATATTTATTTTTACTCTTTTGTTGGTCAATATATGATTTTTGATTCGAAATTTTGTACCAAAACATTAAAAAATGAATAAAAAATCTTGCCAAATTGTCAAAATAAATTATTATTTTCAGGATATGTTAAAAAAATAACATTTTGAATAAAATATTTAATAACGTAGACACTTTTGTTGCCTACACTTCATTAGAATAAAGAAACTAAAACCTGGAAATTTTAAGATTTTTATCTGGAAAACCTGGAAAAATCAGGGAAATTTGAAATCTGATTTGAGTGGCCACCCTGATATACAAAGGTGCATAATGTACTAATTCTACATTACAAGTAAATTTTTATAATTATTTTTATTATTTATTTTAATAATGATTAAAAATTTTTTTGAATGATACGAAAAAAAAAATTTCATCAAAATTTCAGATTGTTCTTTAGAAGTAAAATTTTTTAAATGCAACTTTTTTTTATATTATTCAGAGTGCAAAAAGGGAAATTAACATTAAGAGGTTTAAATTTTGATCTACTTTTCTACTTAACACTATTAGGATCTTATTTTCCAGATTGCTACTTCTCTAATTTAAGGTTAAAGAATCCAAATTTTTCAAAAATTAAAGGAATGTTTATTCAAAGAAAAACTATGTTTTTGTGTCTGATTTGAAACCTGAAATATTATCAGTACAAATATTTTAGCATATTTAAGGATAGTCAATGTATTCATACTGATTGCATTTTAGTACATAAAAATCCAATTATTAGAGGAAAAGTTGTTAATGTATTATCTTTTTTGTTTTGCACACTGTACACCATGACAGGTGGTTAATTGAAAGATAATAAATAGTTATGCAATTCACATAATATTATCAAGAGTTAATTAGATCATTTCTTGAAATCAAAAATTATCTTTTATTTCTCTATTATGGATAAATTTTTTGTGGTTATCTTTCTGTAGATTGGAATGGTTGCTTGGAAAATGACTTTTTTCACTCCAGAGTATCCTCAAGGACGGGATGCAATCGTTATTAGTAATGATATAACTTCCTCAATTGGAACTTTTGCTACTCAAGAAGATCTGCTATTCTGTGTAAGAATTATGATTTGAATATACTTGTAATCAAATAAGATTCAATTGTTATGATTAATTGTTTTTTTCTTATATTTATAGAAAGCTTCAGAAAGAGCTCGTGAATTAGGTATTCCCAGATTATACATATCAGCAAACAGTGGTGCCCGTATAGGTTTAGCTGAGGAAATAAAGCATATATTTGATATAGCTTGGATTGATAATGAAAATCCTGACAAGGTAATTTTTCATTATTGTTCTAAAAATTGTTCTAGGAGTGAAACAATCTCTAGACTTTGCTAAGTCTTTTAAATATTCTCTTTCTATTGTGCCCTCAGAAAAATGAATTGCATAGAATCTCAGATCTTAGCTTAAATTTTTGAAATAAATATGACTTATTTTTCTGTTTTAAATTTTATTCCTCAAACTGAACGACTTCATATTTTTTATATTCTTTTACTTTAAATTTTATTCTATCATATAATTTTAATGTACACATCATTAGTGACTCTTAGTAAGGAATTTTATGTTTAAGTAATTTAAAAATATTTAAATATAGATCTTATTATTTAGTTTTTGAGAAATTTTATTTTAGTGAGGTGTTAAGAAATGTTGAGACTACTGTCTTTTCTATTTCCTTTATAGAGTAATAGATAAAACAATACCTTTCGAATTTTCAATACTAAATATAAAGATTTAAAAAGTAAAATTTTTCTTATAATTTTCAGAAAAAAAAATTTGTAAACCATCATCCTTCTAAATTTCTAAAAATTTAAGGCTGTGTGCAAATTGTCCTTCTGCCTCATTAGAAAATGAATTTTAAGTCTTGCATAATTGCTAAAAATAGAATTAGGAATATCTAAATTAATTTGTTCTCAGTTTTATCCAATAACGTTCTGTCACCTTAGATATCAAATTATTTTACTATTCCTAATAATTGATAGACATACAATCAAAATTTTTAATAAATTGTCTGTGATGCGAACTCTTTTTTTTTTCTTTTTCATCTTGATTCGAATTTAAAATTGTTAATTATAAAATGACATGTGACATAATTTGTGGAAAGGTTTTTTATAGATAGTACTAAAATTGATTTTCTTATATTAAAGATTTTTTATTTTTTTAAAAAAAATTCATTTATTTGAAAATAATTAAGAAAATTTCACTATTTTTGTATGTTTTTTTCCCCGAGACTTTTAGTATACTTAATTGTAAGAAGTAAAAAAAAAAAATATATTAAATGCATTAAGATAAGAATGTTAATATTTCCTTTCAGTTATTAAAAATGAATTAAAATAATATGTCCTATAATGAAGTTTGGTAAAAAAGATAATCTGTGTAAATGTAGCTATCTTTGTTCTAAACTTGTAGTTAAGATTTTTTACGTTTCTAGAATTTGATATTTGAAAGTTTAATGATGTATGTCTTTGTTTATTAAGAGACTGTTAGGATCTAAATATTTTCTTGCAATATTTCAGTACATATCTTATATTTGTAATCATTTACAGGGCTATAAATATTTGTACTTGACTCCTGAAAATTTTAAAAAAGTAAGTGCAATGAATTCTGTGCATGCTGTTTTGATAGAAGATGAAGGTGAATCAAGGTATAAAATCACTGATATTATTGGTAAGTAAAAAATAAATAAATAATTGATTATTTCATAAATTTTAAACTAGTGATTTCACATAGAAAATATGCTTCTCATTGTGATTTACATTTATAATGTTATATTTTAATATGAACAGAGGTTATAACAGATAATTATAAAAGCTTCACAAAGCTAGCAATTATTTTTCAATTTAAAAAATTAAAATATTACTTATGTATCTTGGTTGTTATATATTTAGCTGAGAAATATTATATTATTGTTTTTTATTCTTTAGTAATTAATTTCTGTAATTTTTTTTTATTGAATATTCGTGCAACAATGAATGTGTTTCTGAAATGAATATAGTTTATGAATTCAATGTGCTGAGATTATTGGTTAATCAAATAGAATTGGTATTGAAATAGAATTGGTTGACGTGTTACATTATCGTTAATTTTTGATCATTGAGCAATTTATTTTCTTTTGACTCAAAGAAAACACATGTGAAAAGTAACAAAATTGTTTAAAAAAGGTTTATATCTATGCACTTATATTATAATACATGTTTGGAATACTTTAATCTGCTTTGAACATTGATTTCTTTTGACTTGTCACTTGCAATAAAGGGGGGGGGGAATCCTCTCTGTAGTCACCAGCATTACTGCGAATCTATTCTTTGATGCTGTTTTTCCACATTGGCAATGTCCTTATGAAAACTTGAACCGTGTCCCTCCCAGACGTGCTTGCAGTTATCGGGATATATTAAAGATATCATTAAATAATTTATTGAAATAATTTAATTGTATAAGAAAATACAGTAGAGAACCAATTATCCGGGATGCTCGGGACCATCGCTATCCCGGATATCTGAATTTCCCGGTTTTCTGGATCGACCAAAAAGTGTCGTTAATCGATGTTTTATCGAACCCTCATGCACATATCCTAATCATATTTGGAAAGATTTCTGTATCGTGATCTGTTGCAGAATAATCGCCAAGTTTTGGCGGCTATTGAGCAATGGCCTTAGAGAAACTAAAAATAAGAAAAATCACAGAAAGTGACCAACTTGAATCGTATCCACCCCCAGGCAAGCACCTACTTGTTTTTTTAAAGTTCAAAATCTATTTGGCACTTTGATTTGGTGATTGTAGTTGGCCCTACAGATAACGATAAGGAAATATCCCCTTATATTTTTTTTAGAAATGAAGAGTTTAAGAATCTTTCATGAGTGCTCAAGAAGTGCTTAAGAGGTTCTAACTTTTTATTCAAAATTTGGCTATGCACCCTGTGTAATTAACTATGTAATCATTGTTATCATGGCTTTTTAAAAACCATGGGTGACATTTNTTTTTTTGTTGATAAAAACAAGATTTTTAATTACAGCAGATGTGATTCCACACCAAGAAAAACTTGCAATTGATACCGCTCTTCCAAAGAATGAGAATTTATTCAAAAGAAAAAGATTTTATTTTTATTAGTCGATGTCAAATAAATATATTTTTCTCTTTTCTTTTTCTGTTCACTGATATGCATGCAATGCATTTTCCCCACCCCCCTCGTAAATCAAGCAGAAAACGAAATCAGCATGCCACACCCTTGAGTTTGATTGACGGCCTAAAGGAAAAAATAAAACATTCCTCCCTTCCCTGCCTTCAAGGTGACGGAGGAAATGACGTTTCTCTGGGTAAACGGGGAAAAAAATCTTCCCCTTCCTTACATTTTCCTCTACTCAACTTCAAGGATGAGTCCAATTTCCGCTTTTTTCGTTCTAGTTTAAAATCGTTCTAGTTTAAAATGGCGGGAAATTCCAGCAAAATTTTTCCCGGTTATCTGGATACCGGATAAATGGTTCTCTACTGTATAATATTAAATTTATTCTATAATGTATGTATTGAACTTTTCTTTATGACAAAAGAAATATAAATGTTTCAGCAATTAGTGAATGTCAGCTTTTTTCCATGCAATATTAGTTTTCAGAATGTTAATTCCTTCCAGTATGGGTACTTTCACGTACAAAGCAGTTTCATTATTGACCAGTAATTTATTAAATTCTGGTTTATGTGAATTGTTTACTTTTTTAATTTAGAATAAACTTCTTCTTAATTTCAATTTTTACAAGATTGTAAGATTTTAGAGTGTTTTTTTTAGATCTGTTATAGTGGTTTCAAATTTCCCTCCTCTGAGGGAGAACAGGGAAAACCTGGAAAATACAGGGAATTTAAAAATTACCTAAAATAACGGGGAAAATGCAGGGAATTTTGTTTCTTATTTTTGTCTTTTCAAAAATGATGACAATTCAAAGCGTAATCTATGAGATATTTAACCATGATATTTCAGCTATACTAAACTATTTCATTTACTATCGCATTATTTAAGTATGTTCAGCTGTTTTTCCAGCAATTAAAACTAATAAACATAGTTAGCCCAAATAGCTCACACAAAAGCACAGTAATTGTTGTTTCCTCTAAATATATTGTGTATAATTTGTACAGGGAAAACACAGGGAATTTTCCCCCCCCAGATTTGAGTGGCAACCCTGGACTAATAGTTTTTTTTTAAATTTTTTAATAACTTAACAAAACCAGTCAAATATTTATTGATTTACTTTTTGTTTGTCTTAAACAAAAATCCTACTAGAGAAAAGACTGGTTTCTCTTGAAAAATAAATGAGTTAGCAAGGCCAATGTATTTATCTCAATATTATTTAGCTAGAGATATAGCTAGAGTTAATTGGCTAGAGGTATGAATGGAGATTGTGATGATTTACAACAATGAAACTCTCACTATAACAGCTACAGTGTACAAATTTTCCAAATGACGAAACCCATTTTTTTCCCATCAAAACTTGATTCTCATAGTAAAAAATATAAAATAAAGTTGGAACTATATTTTTGTCATGAGAAATGGTGGTGCTAGACGGAGCAAAAAAGACTATTTTATCTGTTTTAGAGGTGTCACAACCACAATGTAGAAGAAAGCACATTGATTTATAAGCTAAATCCAGGGCTGATTGTGCTCTGGAAAAAATCCGGATTTCCGGATTTTTCGCTAACAGTGATCCAGAAGTTTACGGAGATCAAAGGTCCAGACGTTTAAAAAAATCATTGATCACAGAAGTTTCCGGAAATCAAATTTTCAACGGTGGAACTTAAAAACACAGTTTATTTTATTTCTTTGTAAGGGAGAGTCAGAGAGATACTTTATAAGCTTATATTCATGATTATTTATCGGATGATTTTTTATCAGTAAATAGTTGTTATAGTCATAAACTCAAGAAAGAAAGACATATTTGTAAATTTTAATTACTTCTCCAGGTCATCATAGGTCTGTAAATGGTATAGGTATGTGTAAAATTTTAAATATATATTAAGTAAACAAAGAAATATTGAGGAAAAGGAAAAAAACTTTGTTTAAATTTTTTCTAATTTTTCAATTTCAACTGTTTTTTTGTTTTGTTTTTTTAACTCAAGAAATTTTCCGTAATTTTGACTTGGGCTTACAATCACCCCTTTATATCTTGTTCTCTTCATCTCTGTTTAGCATTGCCATTATTCACACTAAAGATATCATCCCCACTTCATTTTAAGCTATTTTTAAAATTGTAATGATCAGGTTTCAATTAGAGAAAAAGGTGTTGCTTTTTGATAATTTCAAATTTTTTTAATTCTTAACTGCAAATGTGATCAGTTGTCTAGAGTGCTTTTCTTCAAATACTATGGGATGTAATTTTGTTTTGATTATTCAAGCAAATAAGATGCTAGATGTTTATGGGAGAAACTTTTTTTTATGAACATTCTTTCTTTAATGTCTTACTTATTTCATTCAAATTGAGTCCAAATATTTTGAGGTTGAGTTGAAGTGAAAGCTCACTGAGTCGATGTTCACACAATTTACTATAAAAATTTTCACTTTATATGTTTTAGAATTTTGCATCTTACTCATCATTTTATAATTTATAATAGTTCCAATAAATATTCTATTTTGTGATATTTTTAATAGTCTAATACTATTTATTTTACATTGAAGAAAATTTATTTTATTCTCAGTTCTTTCTTTTTTTTTCTCTCTCTAAATTTACCGTGTCTCAAATATTTATTTTAATTCCGCATCTTTATTGATTGTTGATGTTTTAATCTCAATTTATTATCTTGCTGTTTCTCAATCTATATACTTATGAGTAGTTGAATTATAGTATAAAAAAATTTATGGTAATATTTTTAGGAAGAGAATCTGCTTTGGGTGTGAAAAATTTGCAGTATGCTGGAATGATAGCTGGTGAATCCTCTCAAGCATATAAAGATGTCATTACTATTAGCATGGTATGTTTTACAGGGACTAATACAGGTTGATTGTTTTTCAGCCCCTTCACAACACCTCAGCTAGTAATAAGTTTTTTCTATTTTTAATTTTCAATGAGAAATGCCAATATTATGCAAAATTATTAAAGTTTGCATAATTATTAGATTGCTTATTATGGTTTAAAGTCTTGTATCCAGAATAAGTGGAACTTAGATGTCCGGATAATAGATCTTTCTTTACTACAGACCCCCAATGTAGACAAAGGTTAAAACACTTCTTATATAACGAAAAAAAAAACAATAAATAAAATTTTTTGTTATTAGATTGATGTCTGATCAGCCAAAAAAAATTTTTGTAAGGAAACAAATGATTCTCAAAACATGAAAGCAAAAAATTAAAAATGTTACAACTAATCATAAGTAAAAAAAATCATTTGTTGGTTGCTTTCTCCACCATTTTGAACTGAACAATTGAGGCAAGATGTAGAAATTCCTGGCATCTTTGAATTGGAGTAAGTACAGGGTATCAGCGCGCCTGGAAAGTCATGAATTTCGGTATTGAACAAAATTTGTCCTGAAATGTCATGATCTTAACTATTTTTTACAAGAAAATTATGGAAAGTCATGGATTTAGGTTGCCGAAAATTCTCAGTTTTGAAATGGAATTACCCCCCCCCCCATTGCAATTTCAAGGTGTTCCGAATATCTGAATTTGTAACGAAATCCCCACTCACAGTCATATTTTATTGAAACGTAAAATGTTTTTATCATGTTCTTTAAAAATAATGGTGCTTTTTCAAAAAATGAAAGAAAAAGCATCATTTCTAGAGCAAATTATCTTTTAAACTTCTGTGATTTTAGTATTTTTGTTATTTCATTTTATTTCTAAATTTAAAATTCTAGCTGAAGCAAGCCAGTCATTGGCAAATATTTTTTTATTCCGAAATGAGAATAGAAAAATCAGGAGTATTTCTTTCCGACAAACAAGAAAAGTATCTTTAGAATATAATTCTGCAGAAGAAAAGAAAATTAAGTTCTTTCGTATTTTTTTCAGCTTTTTTATTGATTCAACTCTTTCTTTACTCTGTTTTTTAAATTAAAAATCTATTAATATGAAAATGCAGAGTATAACAGTTTTGGTTATACCTATCATTTCACTTAATGTTGTTATAATGCTTTTTCAAATTGATTGTTGTGTTTTTGTCGGAGAAAATAGTAACTTCGGTAAATCATGAAAAATTCTTTGAATTAGTCATGGAAAGTCGTGGGTTTGAAAATGGAAAATATAGCAGATACCCTGTTAGTAGATGGAAAGTTGGGAAAGAAAAAATTCAAAATGTGTTGAGAAAAAGATGTATAAAAAGATCTTTAGCGATCTCTTTCAAACACCAGAATTTTTCAGTTTGATATTATGAAATACACTTTTCTCATGATTGATTTATTATTTTTCTTATTCATTGTTCACCTCTTCCTGTTAGTTACTAGAAATGAGTGTACTCAAGGTCAAACTTTGTTATTATGTTTTATCTTTCTGTTTCATCATTCTGGAAAAAAATTTTTTACTCTTCTCTTACAAACTTCATTTGATTTCCTTTCTATCCATAATTTCTTCAACCTTTACAATCTTGATTAATTGATGAAAAACAAGGGTGACATCTTCATTAAAGCTGTCAACATGTTTAGAAATAAGTTGTTCAGACAAAAAAAAAATTGACAGATAACCTTGAGCTCACTAAAAAGCATAACGATACCTAAGAAAAATAAGATTGCTGATTATTATTTTTAAAAAAATCTTTTCATTTTACTGAAATAAGATAATAAAGAAAATTGTATTGTACCATTTATTAAGTTTTATTTTACTATTTAAAAATTCCTTACAAGTTGTTTTAACATCTTTAAAACATTTCATTTAGAAAGTGAGAAAGATATTATTTTGATATTTGTGAAGTTTTGCTTCATATAATACCTGCTTCAAACTGCCTCCTATTCTTAAAAAAATTGCATAAACAACTCTTTATATTGCATGAATGTGAATAATGGTTCATCGCTTAAAGGTTTTGTTACAATGGAAACAATTAGAACTAGCCAAAATAATGAATTATTGAAGCAAATTATTATTTATTAATTAAAATCCTGTTGAAAAGTAATTAGATGAGTATAATCTTAACTGACTAACTAATTAGATGAAAATAAGGATTTGTTTTAAGCAATTTCAGCTGTATGAAAATTAGAGTATGGAAATGTTCACTTTTTGTCTTCACTTTATGTCTGTTTTTGTTTCTCCTAAAGAAAACAGGCCATTATTAAATAAATTTACTAAAGTCTAATGAAATACAATGTTTTTCAGAAAATCAATGCTTTGAAGGTGACCTGTGCAGAAACTTACTAATTGTTATCAACTTTTAGTTCACTCGGAGACAGAACTGATTTATGTGAATTAACTTAGTGTATTTAATGAATCACACTTAATGAATTACCCTTTGAAGAAATTTGATTTCCAAAATGATTATTAATCTGCAAACAAGGATTATTGCTGTAAATCTTTAAAAAGAACTTCAAATATGGTTTCTTCTGCTTCAATGTTGTTTTCTGAAAACTTGGGGAAATCAGTCCATATTTTGTAAAATAAGAAGAAAAAAGTGTCTAAATTTTACACTGAGTGTAATTTAATGTTTTTCAGGTCTCTTGTAGATCCATAGGTATTGGGGCATACATTGTAAGACTTGGTCAAAGAGTTATACAGATTGAAAACTCACACATCATTCTGACTGGAGCTGCTGCTTTAAACAAAGTAAGTGCATTTAAGTTATTTATCATCTAACAAATTCCGTATGAATCAAAGTTGTAGAACTCATTTTGTTTTATTTCAGTTGCTTGGTAGAGAAGTGTATACTTCAAATAACCAGTTAGGAGGGATTCAGATAATGCATAATAATGGTGTATCACATGTTACTGCTACTGATGATCTTGAAGGGATATATACTATGTTAAAGTGGTTGTCATATATGCCCAAGGTAAAATGTTTTTAAAACTTTTTGTTTCTTAATGTTATTTATTTTTGTTCAGAAAATTGTTTTCTTTTAGGAATCTTAAATAATTTTCTTTGTGGTTTCAAATAAAAATATTGTTCAATTCCAATAGTATCAATTATTTATGCATAATGACTTTGCATTGTTTAATTAATTTTGTTTTCAATGTTTTAATAAATATTACCGAGACCCCTAACAACTATGGGTTCTCTCTAGTTTTTTACTGCAGAAAAGTTCAGAACAATTTTAATTTTTTTAGTAAAGTAATTTATGACAATAAAACCAGTTTATGTTGTTTTTTAATTTCCTCATTACTGGTAATCTGAAAGAAATTGCACAAAAAATGCTAATATCATTATATGGTTTTTAAAAAAAAAGCTCCATCTTATTACAAACAACATAAATTCAGAGCTGAGCTTTTTCCGCCTGTTTTAAATTAAGTAAAATGAAAATTTTGCCTTTTCAGAAAAAGTTCTGCTATTTTGAATCCTGAGAAAAAGGATTGGTTTTTTTACACTTTTATTACTTATGTAAACATGATTAATTTCGTTCACAACTTAAAATTGCACATCGGGATCTGTATTCACATGAATTAAAATTACAGGTAGCTATTCTTATTCTCCCAATTTACAAATCAAATCCTAATTATCTCTCAATTTACTGTTTCTTCTTTCATTAATTTTTAAAATTGTATTATTGTGTTTACAATATTGTCTTGTAAGTAAATTATGACAAGAACTGGGCCATGCATTGAATTGCATCGATGTTATGCAATCGTCACTGATCCGATATTTTGACTAGCAATTTTTGGACGTACCGAAAATTACGATTTACCTGCAATGTGTGTGCTGTTTTCTGATGCATTTTAAGCATTGATGTTGACAGTCATGATGAAGAGCATGGTTACCAATAGTGTATCAATCTGTATCAGTAAATATGGTTTTAAACTCGCACAAAGCATCAAACATCTATGACTGCAAGCAAGTTCCTTCGATAGAAAGGGGACATTGATTGTCGTTTTTGAACAGTTATTTTATAGACATCCACATCTTTTACCTTTTGACGCAGAATTTTTATTAAACATATTTTTTACACTTTTTTCATTATTTTGCATTTAGGTTAAAATAAGTGAAAAATATTTTTTTTAACATTTTAATAATTTTTGGTTATGAAATACTGTATCAGACAGCGGTGTCCCTATTTGATTCAAAGGTACAATCCTCCAAACACAACTCACTTCAAACAATACTTTTCCAAATTTTCTCATGTTTGCAATTATTTGAATCTAAGAAAAACAGTCATTCATCATTGAAATTTCTTTAATTTATAAAATCAATTATTGATAAATTTTTGAATATGAAGGAAAACAAAATTTTTTTATCTTTTTTTTTTTATTTATAATTTAGTGCAAATATAAGTCAAATAATCTCATACATTTTTTTAGAAACTATTAGACAATTTTTTATAATTGAAAAATACCAAAAAATACTTTTGCTTGTATTTAGAACATCAGAAAAAAAATATATTCAAAGGACTCGTGTGTCCCATCTGCGTCATAGGGTAAATCATTGAGAAATAATAATCATTGTTTGAAAATATAATTAATGCAATGTTTATTAAAAATATTGCAAAGTTAATATCTGGGAGTTTTTAATTTTTTTTATTCAATGTTTATTTTACTTTTTAATAATTTAAATAAAAATAGCGGAAAATGTACTAAAATTACGATGAGGGGTGGGGACCCAAAAGTTGCAGGCTTAGTGCCGGTTGTTCTTTAGTTTTCAATCTTTCTTAGCTTAGTTTTTTATTTTTCTGTATATAAAGATTTTTATAAATGTTGGCTCAATATCCATTTTGATTTTATATTTATAATTACCTAAAGACATAGTCTGCGACAGACTAATTTCTGCTGCATGCCCCCTTTTGCGCAGGTTTATCTGCTTTTTTATTTTATTTATTTTTACATTTTCAATATGCTATGCCACTGATGTAATTTGATTTTTTTTTAATAAACATACAATTTATTGTTGATAACTATAGCAATTTTTGACCCTTATTTTGTTAAGAAGCTGAGAATTGAGTTTATTATAAGAATATATTATTGTCTCAATCAAAAGTATGAGTGTTCAAAATTATGCTATACAAAATGTGAAACATAATGTAATGAAACATTGCATTGTATCAAAATATTTTGATATTAGAGTAGCCGAATTATAAATTATTTTTCCCTCTCTTGTAAACTCTTCTAAACTTATTTGTACACCCAATGTTTTAGATTTGTTTTTAGTTAACCACTAGGACATTTTTCAGATGAATATTAGTTAAGATTTCAGGAGGTACTAACTTTTCCTCATATAAATAAGCATTTTTGTGAAATGTTTTAAGCAAATAGTTTTTTATTTATTATAATTTTTCTAAATATTGATTAAACTATTTATATTCTTGCCAATATCTTATTTTTTTTACAGTGTAAAGGTGCTGAATTACCTATTGTTGAATCTTTGGATCCAGTCGACAGAGATGTGATATTTACTCCGTCCAAATTACCATATGATCCAAGATTTTTACTTGCTGGAAGAGAAAGTCCTAGTTAGTTATTATTCTTTATTCTAACTATTTATAATATTTAATTGCATTTTGTATAATGTGTATATATCGCAGTCAACACTATATTAATGACCCATACTATTAGAACATACATTTTTGTTATAATGTGAGTTCCTTACATCATGAGTGTACAAACATAACACGAACTCTTAAATTGAAAAACTGGATACATTGTTTCAAAATTGTCTATATCATAATATAAATTTTAAAAATTCTTAATTTTCCAAAGTTATAATAAATAGCATTACATGTTTTATTTCATCTAAATATTCTATAATGCGTGCTCATGTTTGATAAAAACACTAATACTTTACTTATGACTTTCATATGTACTTAAGGTTTAATAAAACTACTATACATTGTACTTAAACAGCTTTCACCAAATAGAAAAATAAGAAAAATATTATGCAAACAAAAAATAAATATTTAGAATTATCTCAACATCTGTATAAAAAGAGATTAAGATTTTAACTAAACCTTGCTTAAGTTCAAATCTAAATATTTTAAAATATAGACTAGGAATAGCCCTACTCAGTGCAGGTCTTTAAAAAAAAGCTTATCTTATGCTCCTAGTTTTGAAAGAAGAATACAATATTAGTATAATAGAAAATTACAAGTGTTTAGTTTTTTTTTAAAAATTTAAATTTGACTGCTTTAAAAGTTACCAAAAGTAAAATTATATGAAATAAAAAATTTATGAAATATACCCCTCATTTATTATCTGCCCTGAAAACCTGTATATCTGGAAAAAAAACTTTCTTTTATAAGCATAAGAAAGTTTTGGTTATTTAAATAACTCAAATTTTCTGATGTTTGTAAAAACAATTTTCTTCTCAAAAAATCATCTGAACAAAATAATTATTTATAAAAAAATAATGTTTTATTCTAACTCTTTCTAAGCAGAATGAATTTAACCAAAAATGTCAGTAAATTTGAAAGACAAACTTTCTTTTAAATTTTTTTCTTTTTTCAAAAAAAAAAATTTAAAATCATGAAATTTTTTTAAGTTCTTTATATAGTTAAATGATTTGAGATAATAAGTTAAGATTTGTGAAATCCCCTGTGGCAGAATTTTTTTGGGGTTTCTGCGACAAACCCCTCTAGCACTAATATTTTTGTGCAAGTTGCCTTAAATAATAACAAATATTTGTGTTACTAATTTAAAGAAACAAAAGTGTTGTGTTTACAAAAAAACCTATTTGGATAAAATAAAACTGATCTTAAATTATAAAAATAGATCACTGCGAAAGATAAGAAGATGAAAGGTAATAATGAAATTTTGGAGAATCAATTCAACAAAATAGAATTTTCAATTTCAAGTAGTAAAAAAAAAAGTATAGGCCGCTCCTATAGCCACACATACCAAAATTTAATATTTTAAATCATGAACACTGCTGTGTATCTCAGTGAAATTACGGTAATTATAAATCGTGAAATTTGTAGTAGTAACCTCCAAAAAAAGATTGAGGACCAAGTCACGCGCAAAGGACTCTTTACTCAAATGTGTGTTTTATTTCAAGATTCAGCTGTTGTAATAGATAATATTGTATTAAAAATATCATATTTTAAAAACTATGTGGAAATCAATCGCAATAACTGCCCAAAAAATGTATGGGGTCTAGCATTAAAAAGTAAATTCTTAAATGCATATGATTCGAATTTAACATATTGTCTGAAATATATCGGTATATTTAAAAACCATGTGAAAATCAATATCAATAATTGCCGAAAATACAATAGAAAGACTCGTGGACTTGCGATGCAATCAGTGTAGTTTTAGCGCATCGAATTTTTTTTATTTAAATGTGTTTGCGTTTAATTAATTACGTTTAATTTACATTTAAAAATAATATTAAGTAAGAAATAACTAGAATTTTAAACCCTGTGGAAACTGGTAACACTAGCAATACCTGCCGAAAAGTTGAAAAAAACTTAGAAAGTTTCACATCAAAAGTGAAAAGCAATTGAATGTAGCATGCAATAAAATTGTATAAAAAGAATCAGAATCTTTTTTTTTAAATTTGAGAATTCGTAGCAATAACTGTCAAAGGAATGATTGAAACACCACATGGATTAACAATGATGTCAAAGAGTTATTTCTTGAATCCATAGAATGCTTAATTTAAAATTAAATTTGAATGTTCTCATCAGAACTAGTTAATCAGTTATCTACCATCTGTAGTACCTATTCATACAGGGGAAACGATAAAACCTAAATACTGTCATACCTAAAACCTAAATACTGTCATACGTAATTATACAGGTGAAACGATAAAATAAAAGGAAAACTTATTAATCTAAATAAAAAAAAACTTAAAAATTATCGAACTGAAACGATAGTTAAAAAAGACACTAGCATAAATATTGAAACCCGGAACAAGGCAAGATCAATGGAATTTAAAAAAAAAACCTAATGATAAAATTTATGAATAAAAAGAATTAATTTATTGAGTGCGAAATTTATCGTGAAAAGAAAAAAAATCAAACGTAGTGGAATCAGAAAAACAAAACTGCAATCTGCTTCATAAAATAATCCTATGTTTAAATTAATAAGCAATTCTCCTTTTATTATTTTTTTTTTTTGTTGATAAAAACACGATATTTAATTACAGCAGATGTGATTCCACATCAATAAAAACTTGCAAATGATACCGCACTTGAATTTATTCAGAAGAAAAAGATTTTATTTTTATTAAATGATGTCAATTAGATAAATATATTTTTCTCTTTCATCTTCTGTTCACTGATATGCATGCAATGCATTTTCCCCACCCCCCTCGTAAATTAAACAGAAAACGAAATCAGCATGTCACACCCTTGAGCTTGATTGACGGCCTAAAGGAGAAAATAAAGCATTCCTCCCTTCCCTGCCTTCAAGGTCACGGAGGAAATGACGTTTCTCTGGGTAAACGGGGGAAAAAATTCTCCCCTTCCTTACATTTTCCTCTACTCAACTTCAAGGATGAGTACATTTCCGCTTTTTTTCATAATCGTTCTAGTTTAAAACCAATCAAAATTTTTCCCGGTTTTCTGGTTTCCCGGTTATCTGGATACCGGATAAATGGTTCTCTACTGTATTACTAATTAACCAATTTCTTTTGTAAATATCATTAAAGGTAATATTTTCTTATTTTGAAAAATTTTAATATGTTCTTATTAAAATTTTATTTTAGATTTGCCTGGATTTTGGGAAGATGGTTTCTTTGATTATGGAACATTTTCTGAAATAATGCAACCTTGGGCACAAACTGTTGTGACTGGTCGAGGCAAATTAGGTGGCATTCCAGTGGGCGTTATAGCTGTTGAGACACGAACTGTTGAAATTGATGTACCTGCAGATCCAGCTAATCTTGATTCAGAAGCAAAGGTAACACACTTGTATTTGGAAGATCACATTTGATGAGGCATGCTTGCCTGCAAATCAGTTTTTCTCATTCTATTAAATGGGAAAAATGCTGTATTAGAGAAACAGTCTCCCCCATTTATAAAAATGACAGATAATTAAAGCAGTTTTTTTTTTTAAATATTTTATATTTTTTGCAGCTTTTTTTTTAATTTTATGTCCATATATTTTACTCTGCAGTCCAGAGCATCAACACTCCACTTTATTATGAATAAAATTATGCTTTATTTTTTTTAAATTAAATTTCAACAACCTTATTTTAAAATTAAAATAGTACTGTTAGTTACCTGCTTAAAATTTTTTTTTATAGTTGGTTATTGAAGCATTCATATAAACTTTTAAATCCATGAAAGCAAATAAATCAAGATGTTTATGAAAATCTTGATTGTAATTTCAGTTACAAATTACAACTTAGATGTAAAACCAAATAAATAATGGTTACCTAAAGAAAATTATAAATAGAATTAAAAATTTTTCAAGTCCTTCTATTTCATATCAATTTTCTAAAGAAAAGATGAAACCTTTTGTGCAAAATATTGAAGAAAAGCGCAAAAGGGATTTAATTAGTTTTGAACTTTCCACTCTCATCAAGTGTATACACCACAATTTTATTAATATAATTGTCAGATGATTTTCATAAACTAAACTTTTTTATTAGAAGAAATTGCTTGTAACCTTTTTATTAATAATAGTAGCATTTTGTTCAAGTTTTAAATTCAATGAGCATGCTGTAGTTGGCTGTGAATATAGTTTTTTTTCTCCATAGTTAAAGAGCCTTTGTAAATAGCTTGCTAAAATTTGGATCCAACCTGCTTAATTTTACTAAAATTTGGATCCAACCTTCTTAATTTTACTAAAATTCTACATTCAATGTGCTAAACACCTCCATTAAGCTTTTTATTTGCATGCACTTAAGTCAGTAGTTCATCTTTTTGAATTTATCAACTAAAAATGCTATTCTTCAACTTAGATTATTGACTGTAATTACTGGAACATAGGAGTTTCTTAGAGTAGTTGTGTATTTTCCTATAAAGTATTGTTTTTACTTTTCTTAATGCTAGGTTATTTCCCAAGCTGGTCAAGTTTGGTTTCCTGATTCAGCTTATAAAACTGCCCAAGCTTTAAATGACTTCAATAAAGAAGAATTGCCTGTTATTATCTTTGCTAACTGGAGAGGCTTTTCAGGAGGAATGAAGGGTTTGTTTTTATTTATTTTATATTGTTTTGATCATTAGCATTACATTTTAAATTAAGTTTACACATTTGTTGTGAACAAAATCAGGACAGAAGAATCTAGAAAAACAATTTAAGACTTTCACTATTATTTTTTATTAATCTGAAATCCTTTTCTTTTAGGCTATAAAAACGAAATTAAATATGTATTCTAAACCGAAATTAAAAAATAATATATGAAAAGTCTCAATTTTACCTTTAATTATTAAAATTTCTTAAATCTTGACTCTCTGATGCAGTGTGCCTAGTCGGAAAACACTTATTTTAAAGATATTATGAACAACAAGAAATGCAAAACTATTACTTTTGAACATCAAAATTTTTTAAAATGTTAAACAGCATACCTTATATATCTTAACTTAGAATGCACTGTTTACAACCGCAAATGCTTATGTTCTGACCAAAACTTTCAATCAAAATTTGCTGTGTCGTAATGGGTTTAAAGGATTACAGATAAAAGTTAAGAATTTTTTGCTGAGCTTTGCGATTTTTACTAATGCTATGTTTTAAATGAGGAACAATCAAGTTGAAACTTTATGAATACTGCACAAAACATAGAAAAAGAGTGCAAAATTATTTTTTCCCTAATTCAAGAATTTCTTTGCTATTTGCAAAAACTTGTAGTGAAATTTTTATTCCAAGCATTTATTTTTGTTTTAATAGCATACAGAAACTTTTATTTTAAAACTTATATAGTTAAGTGTCAACTTTTATATTAATGGGTTTCTTTAAATATGTACATATTCTCTTCACCGTGAATTAGAGCATAGGGCTTCTATCATAGCTTTCCACCTCACTTAATTTGTAGCCATAGATTTTGCGTCTTTCCATGTCTTTTCTATTGTTTTCTATTTACTTAGAATCGTCCTGCGGCAAGTAGTTTTATGTCTTCCTATTTTTCTATTGCCTTAGGGTTCCAATCAAAGATATTAATTTCCTGTTCAATCTGTATCTGTTTGAGCTTTTCTGAGGATTTTTGTGTTACAAATTTTATGGAACCAGGTGAGAGCCATTGAGTAGGACGAATTTAACAATAGTATTGAAAATTCTAGTTTTTGTTGAATTTATGTTTTTGTTTTTCCAGAATTTATTGAGAATAGCGTAACTTTGGGCTTTGTTTAATCTCTTTAGTTTCGTACATAATTTCTGATTTCTCCAGAGAATTCAGCTTTTAAACAATCCTCCTCTAGTTTGTTATTTTTTTAGAATATGTCGTTTAATTGTTTAGGATTAATTTTTAAAATTTTAGTTTTATTTTGGTTAATAATAAGTCCCAATTTCTTTGCTAGTTTAAAATGTTTGTGTTTGCGTGTCTCAAAGGATGTTGGTCAGTAAACATAAATAGTCTGCAAAATCAAGATCAGAAAGATATTCAGCTAGGTTCCATCTTATTCTTCTTTTATTCTCTGATGCTCTATTCATAATCCAGTCAATAGCAATTAAAAAGATTGTTGGAGAAAGTATACAATCCTGTCTTACAATGGAATTAACCTTGAAGGATTCTGATTGTTGGCTGGCATGGATAACTCATATATTGTAATTTTTATATATACTTTTTATAATGTCCACAAAACGTTCAAGAATTCCACAGTGCTTCAACAGCTTCCAGAGGTTTTTCAAATAATAAACAATTAAAATGATACTTTATGAATATTATCAGTGCCTGATTTACCATTAGACCTGAGAGGTCCAGGCCTATGGCGCAGGATATGCATTGGGGAAAAAGGCTAGCTTCGATCGATATAATGTAAATCATTCCCACAAGGCTTGGTGCAGTCCCTGTCTATGAAGGAAAAAAAGTAACATTTAGGGGCATCGCAGCAGAGACTGTTGAAACTGGTTTAACCTTCCTCTCCTCCCAACCACTACTAGGGTTGCACAGAAGAAAAGTTTTCTCTTTTTATTTAGTGTTGGTTTGTTTTGCATTCTTGCACTATTTATAAGCAATACTGTACAATTAAAAATATTTCGTTGATAATGCATTTATATAATCCGTGTTGATTAAACCTGCTAACGTATTTTGAGTTGGAAAGGAAGAATTAAATGGCGGAAGGCAGCGTACGCAACCATATATGTAGACTTGTTCTTGCAGGTGACATACCTCCTGACTGTCACTTTGCTTTGTATGCGCATGCGCTGGATGTTATGACAGACATGATGCCCTAAGTACGTTAATGACTCACTAAGTTGTTTTCTGGTATAGCATACCACACTAAGCAGTTCCTGGCATTAGTTAGGTACTTGAAGAGCTAAACTTCTCCTTTCTACATGCTTTGCCTATGGCCCACACATTACTTAGGGCCCCCTAAATGTTACAAATAATTCTTTTTTGAGTTATCAAAATTATTATTATCAGAGTTATGATTTAACAAAAATTGAAATAAATATAAAGTCAAATTTACAAGTATAATGTTATTTACTTGTGTTATAAATAATTTAAAAACATTTCATTATTAAATAATATGTAAATTTAGTTTTAAGTAATGACCAGGTGGCCCCTGACAGCTCTGTGCCTAGAGCCCCAGTATTTCTAGATCAGGCCCTGAATAATATGCAAAACAAAGAAATTCTAGGTGTGTCAACTGAGAAGAACAACAGAATAGATTTTATTTTAATCTACTTACAAATATATATTTTTTATTATTTTTAGATATGTATGACCAAGTTCTTAAATTTGGTGCAATGATTGTGGATGCCTTAAGAAACTTCAATCAGCCTATTATTGTATATATCCCACCAAATGGTGAACTCCGTGGAGGAGCTTGGGTAGTTGTAGATCCAACTATAAATGAAAAACACATGGAAATGTATGCAGAGACTGAGTGCAGGTTTGTTTGAAATATTTAAACTTTCATATGTAATTTGCTTCATTTAAAGGCTTAATTTGAAATACAGTACAGAACCCGTTATCCGGAAATTAGAAAACCGGAAAACCAAAAAACCGGAACGAAATACAAAAAATTTTCCCGCTATTTTAAAAAAAAAAAATTTTTTCCTCATAAGATTTTAGGATTTTTCGTTCTTTTTTTAAAGATGTTTACCTTACCATCATTTTGGTAATAATCATTAGTGTATTACTTCATCGTTTTTTCGTCTTTTTAAAGTAATTTCCAATTTTTTTTGTTGGATTTAACAATAAAAAAAAACGGCTTTTTGCAGCGATTCAGAAAACCGGAAAAATCAGAATATCGATGGTCCCGATCATTCCGGATAATCGGTTCCCTACTGTACGAACAAAGCAGTGAGCATTGTGTTGTAGCAAGCTATATTTGTTTGTTAATAAACCACAGAAAAATAAGAACATGGTAGGGTGCATAGCTTTCTTAAAAAGTGCTTATTTTCGTTTTTTAGAAGCCCTTAAAGGTGCTTTTTTCATTAGATGTTTTTAAAAAGTGCTTAATTTGTCCTTTTCCGTAATGAGATTTAGTTTCTTTACCGTGTGCGAGTTTTTCACTCCTCATTCAATCTCGATCCATTTCGGCGTACTGTCAGTCAGCAGCGTATAAAAGCGCTGATCATAATATGTTTGATGAAATACTTGTAGGTCCGTATGTGCATATATACTGAGCTAGATTCAGTGAGAAGGATTCTTGCACTCTCATATGCAACTCTGCTGCATGTATTCTCTATTTCAGGCTTCATTTTCCGCCCTCTGAAATCGAACCGAAAATCTTTCAAAATTTTGCTGATCATTGGAACTAACTAAACATTGCCAAATTTTAATAGCAAGAAGAAAATTTTATTTCTCTTGTTAATTTCATCACTGTAGTCTTCGTCAATAGCAAGGTAATGGCCTTCTTTCTCTATTGTAATTATCGATCAGATCTTTGATTATCTCTCCATAATCTTTGAATTTGACTTGAGGATCATTCACTAAGTACTTATTTTCATGTAAGTCCTCAGAGCAGTCAAGAATCACAGAACCTCATCTCCTCAAAATTTCCATCTCTATTTTATTCATTTAATTTAATAAAAAAAAATTATATGAGATTTTTAAGCATAAATTTTTATCTAAGGGACCGTCCACTGATTGCATAGTTTTTTAAAACTTTTATTGTACTTCATTACTTTTTGTTTGCTATATTTTTTGCTTATTACTTTTTATTATTGCATTATTACTTTTAAAATTTTCAGTGCTCTTAATTTGTTTTAGGAAAAAACTTCATACTTTTTAAAATCTTGCCTCTAAATATTAAGTCAATATTTTAAATGCAGCAAAAAATCTTATGTTATTTAGATTTATCATTCTAAATTACTTTAATTTATATCTTAATGATTTGATTTAGAAACAATTGAAGTAAAAAATTTAATAATCTCAGATTTGTTAAATATCATGAGTTTAGAGACCGTATAATAATTTACTTCTGGCAAAAATGCTTAGCTTCAATACTCATTTTATTTACATTTCAAAATTATTTAAGTTTTTTTAATCATTTCATTAAAGAAATACAGAACCAAGTAACAAGTTTATTAGGGGCCATTCACTAATTTACATTTGTAATATATATTTATTAAAGTTTTCTTAATTTGCTTAATTCTTCAGATATTTTTATAAATTCAGTATGATCAATAATATTAATCTTGTTAATGTTTTGCTGAATATGCTATTAGTTATACTTATTTCAATGGAAAAAAATACACCCGATAACCTTTTTAAACAATAGTTAAATTAATTAGAATTTTGAATTAAAACTTTTTATACAATTAAATAAAGTAATTATTGATTTAAAAAATAGTATGAGCCACTCAGTATCGAATATATTTAATATTTTGTACAAATTATTTTTATGGTGGCCAATATTGTGAAGAAAAGAGTTCTTTATCAGAAGCAAGTTATTTTATCAAGTTCATGTAAAGTCTTATGAAAATTATTTTGAATTTTGTTAATGTACGAGGGTTGTTTTTTTTTCAACCTCCGATGGGCTGTAAAGGAAAGACCGGTCAATATAAAAAAAAGATTTTATCACCAAAACTTATGTACAATACAGCTTATTTCTCTACATAATCACCTTGACGATTAAAGCATTTGTCATATCTGTGAACAAGCTTTGCAATACCCTCTTCATAAAATGTAGCCGCCAATGATTGAAAGTGAGTTGTGACGGTTTCTTTGAGCTCCACGTCAGTTTGGAAGCGCTGCCCTCCAAGCCACTGCTTCAGTTCAGGGAAAAGATGGTAATCACTCGGTGCTAGGTCGGGACTGTATGGTGGGTGTTCGAAAATGTCCCATTGAAATTGCTGAAGGAGTCGTTGGGTTACACGAGCGCTGTGGGGACGGGCATTGTCCTGTATCAGAACAATTCCAGAAGTCAGATTGCCTCTTCGTTTGTTTTGAATAGCTCTCCGTAAGCGTCGCAAAGTTTCACAATATGAATCTGCATTAATTGTTGCTCCAGGCTGCATAAACTCCACAAGCAACACACCTTTTTGGTCCCAAAAAACAGTTGCCATAATCTTACGGCTGTTGAAGGTTCGTTTGAATTTTGTGGGTCTCGTTGGAGAGTTTGTGTGCATCCATTGTTGTGATTGTCGTTTCGTTTCGGGCGTGTCAAATTGAACCCATGTCTCATCACCTGTCACAATGGATTTCAAAAAATCTTCTCCATCAGTATTGTAACGGTCAAGAAAATCCAAAGCTGCACCCATTCGGCGAGTTTTGTGGTTGTCAGTCAACATCCTTGGGACCCAGCGAGCGCAAACTTTTCTGTAGTGCAACCGTTCAGTAACGATAGAGTACAGGGCAGATCTTGAAACACCTGGAAATTTCATCGATAATTCACTTATGGTGAACCTTCGAGTTTCCCTAACCGCTTTGTCAACGCGCTGAACAATGTCGTCTGTGGCGACAGACTTGCGTCCTTGACCGCCTTCGTCATGAATATCAGTTCGGCCATCTTTAAATTTTCGGCACCATTCACGAACAACGCCATCACTCATAAAGGTGTCTCCATACACTCGACTCATTCTTCGATGAATTTCCGCTGCACTGTTCCCTTCTGCCTGCAAGAAACGGATAACAGCTCGCAATTCACAGTTGGCGGGAGAATCAATAGCAACAGCCATGTTTATGTGACTGCAACTCAACTGGAAATGACCTGTTGGAATCGACATTACAGAGCGTTTGAGCGGGGAAGATGCGCAGTCGCCTACTGCGCACACCAATCACCTGCTGCATTCCTGGTCATCATACTGTGCGATCGGAGGTTGAAAAAAAAACAACCCTCGTATGTAAAGAACTTTCTACAATAAGAAGAAAACATTTTTACTAGTGCTTAGATCCTAATTATATTTTTTAAAGTGCTTCAAAAGTGCTTATTTTTGTTGAAAAATTTGGCTAGAAGACTGCATGGTTTCCTAAAAATATTGAAATGAGTGGGCCTTAATGCTTTAATTAATGGAGTTTTAAGCCTATATTAATGGAATCAAAATTTAAATATGACTGAAAAATATCTTTTGAGACATAGCTTAAATTAACAGTGCATTAAATAACGCCAAAAATAGTAGAGAAATTATTTTAAGCATTTGTCTATACTTGGTATCTATGATTGTTTACAAGCTGACTCAAAAGTTTCTTTCCAAATTTGGTGCACAATAACTGGAAAAATTGCATTATAAATAAATGCCAGTAAGAAAAAGAGTTCTTTGTGGCACTTATACTCTGAATATTGCCAAAACTTTTAAAAATTTTAACTAAAATTTTATTTTCTTTATTTTTTGATATCTCAGAAATTGAAGAATTCAGAAAAATTTTTTATCTGTTTTATTTATTCCCTAAAGTACTTAAGAGTATCCCATGGAATGACTTCAAAGATGAGCGGCATATTCCTGTTTTTCCTGCCCCATAACTTGAAATTTATAGTCTTTTCCTTTTATTAAAGATAGTTTCTAAGCCAGTAATCTGAATCACTAAAACTATTTTTTTATTTAACTTCCTTTTTATTTAATTCATTAGTTTGGATGGGTTAAGTCACTTCCATTAATTTCAATTAAAGCAGACGCAGTTTTAAATGATTCCTTCAGACAATACTGGAGGAGCCTAATATTAAGCCACAAAAGAAAGGAGAATAAGTTATGTTTAAGTGTTTTTCGGATAAAGGTTTTACTTTTATGTAAATCCTGTTTATATTTATAATATTTGTATCCTTTTAATTTTAGATAATATTTATATAATTAAGTTTTCCTCTTTTGATTGTTTAATATTTTAACATGTTAATTTTGTTTTTCTTAATTTTAATAGAGGTGGGATCTTGGAACCTGAAGGTGCTGTTGAAATTCGTTTTCGAAAAAAGGATCTCTTGAAATCGATACACAGAACAGATCCTCTCAGTAGAGATTTATTGCATCAATTAACATCTACTCAAATATCTGCTGAACAAAAATCCAAATTGGAAGAACAACTTAAACAGAGAGAACTATACCTTTTGCCTGTATACCATCAGGTTGCTTTAGGATTTACAGATTTGCATGACACTCCCCGATCTATGTTAGACAAAGGAGTTATACAAGTAAGTAAATTGTAACTATCATCAAAGTTAACCCTCTTGTTGCTGGCAAAACTGAAACTGGCAAAAAAAGTTGCAGAGATTGCGAGATAAGACTTTGCAATGAGCCTTGTTTCGAAGTTTATCATACTAAATTTCATTTTAATAAATGTTTTGTAAGTATTTTGTGAGCTTTTATTAGTAACATTTTGCATTTGTATTTCATAAAATCGATCATAATTTAACCAACATATGATTAGATATGATTACTCATATATGATTAGATTATTTTAAAAGTTTCAGATTACCTTTTCTTATGATCTAATTCTATATTGAAAAAAAACTCTTTAAAAAAGTAATTATTTTAACTGTCAAAAATATATCTAAATTTGAAACTTGTAATAAAAAAAATTTGCAATTTTTTAACCTATTTTGATAAAAAAAAATTATACAGCTGGAGGGTTAAGTCATAAATTTATTTTGAGTTTATTAAAAAATCTAAAAGTTTTGTATTAAATATTTTTTGAATCTGTTTTCAGTTAAAGAAATGCTAGTTCTGAAGTACTTTAAAATTAAAGTTTTATAACTTTTTAAAAGTATATTTTAAAAGTTCACTATTATACCTCATGCTATCACATTTTCCCTGATTAGTGAAGTATTTATCCAAACTTTTCAATGTATGTCACTTCATGCTAATACCTTTTTATTGTACTAAATTACTTTTATGCAAAATACTAAAATATTTTTATTTAGCTTTTTCACAGATATAAGCTTTATTTACCCATTTTCAGGATATAGTTCCTTGGTCAAAAGCTCGAACTATACTATATTGGCGTTTGAGAAGACTGTTATTGCAGGATCGTTTAAAAGCTGAGATTGTATCTGTTAAACCTGGCATAAGTGATGGAGAAGTAGAATCAATGTTGCGGAGGTGGTTTGTTGAAGAGCATGGTACTGTAAATGTAAGTTTAAAGTAGTTTTTAACTGTAAATTTAATTTGTTTAAATTCATTATTTTTCATTAATCTTTTTTTGATTTTTGGAATTTTGGTTTTTAATGTTTAATTTTTAATTTATTGCAAAATTTACTCAATAAATAATGGTATGTAAGTCACATTCAAAATGCTCAGTCATTTTTAAAATTTAATTCCTTTTACTCAAAAACATTTAAATTTTAAAACTAATTAAGCACACATTCTGTTTTCTCTATACTGTATAAATATTTTTCATGCAGTTAGTTTTTAAAATTATTATTAGTAGATGCTTTCTTTGGCCAAATACAATAAAAAGTGTTTTGTCTGTTGAATAACACACATAATTTCTATATATTTTTGATATTATCAATAGTATGTAAATTAAAATTTTTTAAGGAAAGTTTTGTAAATAAAGTTACAACTGTTACTAAGTTTGTCATGTCTATCACCAGGTAACGTAACAGACTCTACATTTTAAGAAACAAAAATCAGGATACTCAACAAATTTCTAAAAAATATTTGATTTCTGTTTGATTTAGACTAAAATTTAAATTAGCGAATTTAGCTTATTAAGATTTCAAATAAATTCTAGTTGAATAAATAAATATTGTTATGTAAGTAATTATGGCGACAGACATAGTAAGAAGCTTCTCCTTCACCAACCAATCAAAGAACATTAAAAATAGCTGCTTATATTTACTTTATAAACTGCCAATCATACACAAATGTTTTCATAATTAAATTACAGTTTTGTATTTTAGGAAATTTAAATAAGTGTTTGCACCCAGGTTTTTATGAAAAAACATAATTCTGTCTAGAGATAAATGTTTTTTTTAAAAATATATTATAAACATGCATGCTTGCATATTCTAAACATAAAAATAAGATATAGTATATACTGAATAAATATTGTATGATTGCTACCAAAGAGATTAATAAAAGAAATGGTTATAAGAATAACTATTTCTGACATTTTTCTGCCTTTTAAATGTGCAATATTAATGATAAGTTGCTGAAATGATTCTTTGTAATATGTAAAGCATAAAATGATATGTGATTAGTTTTGAATGACAGTGTAGCGTCGGATATTCGGACGTCCCTTTTGGGAAGGGTCGATTTCCCGGACACTTTTTAACAATAAAAATAAACAAACATATCTTCATCTTCCCCTCTCTTTAAAAAAAGGTCTTTTGACACGATTTCTCTTTTTCTAATTTCTAGCGATTTATGCATTGAACCCATAAATCACCAGAAAGGGGAAGAAAAGATCTACCAAGACCTTTGAGTGACAGATAGTGACACTCCCCCTCTGGAATGCAGGAAAAGAGGGAGATTTGTTTTCAAAAGAGCGCAACTGTGTCCCCTCCCCCCTTCTTTCCTATGCAGCAGGCTAGTAAAAGAGGCATTTCCTGGAACCTTTTTATTAAAGTATTAGGGAAAGAAGTACTGTGGAAAAGTTTAAATGGGTTAAATGTTAATGTGGAGGGGGAGTCCAAAATGGAAAATTTGAATAGGTTTAAAAGGATACACTTCCTTGAGAAACATTCGTTCTTTCCCTGACCATGTAATATTTAGGAGGTGGGGGAAAAAGGGGGTAACATTCTTCCTTTAGCAGATTCTTTCAGTCACACACAAGAAAAAATAAAGAGAACCTAATCAGCATGCCACGCCTTTTTGGTTGATTGATAGCCAATGATCAAACAGAAAATAAGAATTTGTCACTTCCCCGCCCTCAACTTGAACAATCTCTTCTTTAAGCATATGTTCTCTAACAAATAAGGAGGAAATGAATTTTTCTCCTCCACCTACCCACCTTACTGAATGACTGCAATTTCCCCTTCTTGCTTCAATCGTTCATGTTCAAAATGGCGGAGAGAGTAATTAATATTTTCGTAACTGTCAAATTTTTTTTGTTTTCTATATTTTAAGCAATAATTATTTTTTTCTAATATTTTATTTTTGATTGATTAGATACCATTCTAATACTAAAAATAATGTTTATTTACTTTTTGCTTCGTAGATTCAGATCGTTTATTAGATCATTATAAGCTTTGTTTACCTGGGGAGTCTATTATATGGAAAAATCTATTATCCGGACTTCTGGAAGTCCCACCGATTCCGGATACGCGACTTTCCACTGTATAAATAAATGCATAATTTGCTTTAAAGTTAATGAATGAAATTTCTAGAAGTATTGTATGCATCAGCGGTTCTTAACCTATGGGTCGTGACCCAAAATTGGGTCGCAAGGTATATTTCTTGGGTCGCGCTAAGTCGAATCAAAAAAGTTAGTAATACACCAAATAATAAGTAATACCAACACCTCCTAGAAGAAGTCATTGTGGCTTACTCAGCCTAGGCTTAATGAGGTACCTGGGTAACTTTATACCCTTAATCCTCATTCATAATAATTAAAAAAGGCACATGACTCAAAATTAGTTTAGCATATCAAGGTGTAAAATTAATATAAGAATAAATGATACCTAGTAGTTAATGTTTAAAATAAAAAAGAAAATAAAAAAGTAAAAAAGAATTAACATAAGAGGTAGAAAAATAGTTCCACAGAAGTGGCGCTGTTTAAGTCACTCCCTAATGGGGTGTGTAAAAAAATAGCGGTGGCGCTGATGTCGCCCTAGCGTCGAATCGGCCAGAAAGTGAAAAAGTTAAAAATGAACTTTAAAGAAAAGGTAATAAAAAGATAAAATGGTGAATAAAATGATTTAAAAGGGAAAAAATCAGAGCTCGGGGTGGGGAAACATTTGTAATGAAAGAATTACCCTTCGTTATTTTGAAAATAGCTAGCAAGGATAAAAATTTTGTCAAGAGGAGTGTCTGCTTTTTTTATATCAATAACTAATTGGGCAATATTAATGCCCTTAAAAATGGTGTTCAAGAAAGAATTAGTGTCAACATTGGGTTGGGGGGGCGTGGTCGTGAAGGACGGAACAGCGGCTGCTGAAGAGCTTTCTCCGACAGCCGAAAAGGGGCGTGGCTTATTGCCATTGCGAAGCGCATCAGCGCATGATCGCCAATTCCTGTCCTGAGGCTTTCTCTTCTAGGAGGTGTTGGTAATACGCACGCCATTGCTTTGCGTGCACACAGACTCAGTAAGCTCTCTGTCAAAAACTCGTTTCTGCGTATTGTGTTGTGAATAACAGTGAAACGTGTAATAACAGTGAAACGTGAATACAAGCATTTCAGAAACAAATTTTGTCTTATTATTAATAGTGGAGTGATCAAGCTGCAGTGCGTATTGTAAAATTGTAATCACCTTAATAATGGCAAAACGTGAATACAAGGAAGCATTTTTAGAATTAGGTTTTACTTGCATTTATGATCGAGGAGTGAACAAGCCGCAATGCACACAATGCAATGGTATTAAGTAATGAATCGATGAAACCGAACAAAGTTAAAAGACATTTTGATGCAAAACATAAAAATGTTCCCTTTGAGGGAAAAGATCGTACTTTTTTCGAAAGAAAAGAAGCCCATTTAAAAAGACAGCGTTTGGATGCACCGAGTAGTAGTGGTTTTATAAATTCTGCCAAACAAGCTACACTTGCTTCTTTTCATGTGACTTGGCATATTGCAAGACAAAAGAAACCCCATAATATTGCTGAAAAACTTATAAAACCTGCTGCTATTGACATGGCACGTATCATGTGCGGAGAAAGTTCAAAGAAATTACAAAAGATACCATTATCAAATGATACAATTCGTTTACGAATTAATGATATGTCACTTGATATTAAGAATCAACTTATTTCTGCTATAAAAATTGCTGGTTTATTTAGTATTCAACTGGATGAAACGACAGATGTAAGTAAAGATGCTCAACTCATGGTTTACGTGCGGTATCCAGGTTTAACAGATATACAGGAGGACATTTTATTTTGCAAACCAATGTCAACAACAACTAGAGGTGAAGATATTTTTCTTATGGTCGATTCGTTTTTTAAAGAAGAAGGATTAAATTGGAATCAGTGTTTCAGTATTTGCACCGACCAGCTGCCATGACAGCATCTCAAAAGGGATTTTCAACAAGAGCGAAACAAATGAATCCACAAATTATATCGATTCATTGTTTGTTACATGGACAAAATCTTGCTTCAAAAAAACTATCACCCGAATTATGTATCGTTTTGGATGAAATTGTTGCGGTAGTCAATTTTATCAAATCAAGCGCTCTTAACTGTAGAATTTTCCGTGAACTGTGTTTCGAATCTGGTGCAGAATACGAGAATTTATTATATTATTCTGAAGTTCGATGGCTGTTCCGGGGCAAAGTTGTTCAAAGAGTATTATCATTACGGACAGAAGTCTAATTATTTTTGAGAGAAAAGAAACACCCATTTGCATCTAAATTCTCCGAGTTGAAGTGGATTACTCAAGTTGCTTATTTGTCAGATATTTTATTTGAAATAAATGATCTAAATACGTCTATGCAAGGACGTAGTCATACTATTATTGAATTAACTGAAAAAATTGCATGTTTTAAAAATAAACTCAAATTATGGAGAAATAAGGTTGGAGTAAAGAAACTTGCTTCATTCCCGACTCTTAATTTACTTGTTGAAGACAATAATATTGATACAGTGGAAAGTCACGTATCCGGAATCGGCGGGACTTTCCGAAGTCCGTATATTTGATTTTTCCGTATAATTGACCTCCAAGGTAAACAAAGCTTAAAATGATCTGAATCTAAGAAGCAGAAAATAAATAAACATTATTTTTCGGGCAATAATGTTTTAGTATTAGAATGATATCTAATCAATCATAAACAAAATATTAGAAAAAAAATAATTATTGCTATTCTAAAAATAAATATAGAAAACGAAAAAAATTCCCAGTTATGAAAATATTAATTGCTCTCTCCACCATTTTGAACTAGAACGATTCAAGCAAGAAGGGGAAATTCC